GTGAAGTAGAGAAATAGAATGAGATAGAGAGAATGAATGAGTGGGTGCGAAAGAGGAAGAAGACGAGTAAGAGAGAGAGTCACCCAAATTGAAACTCGGATTACAACTAAGGCCATAAATTAAGAGACGGGTCTCTCTCTCTCTCTCTCTGTCCTAGTTAGGGAGAACTTGCTTTACCAAATACCCGGGAAACCAAGGACGACTTCCTCACTTCCTCGCGTGCACAACTGGGTGTTAACTTTAAACTGGTGTAAATGCTGGATTATAAGAAGTGCTTACTTAGCCAAAGACAAAGGCTCAAGAAGTTTGTAAAATCTTCCCCTCGCATGCCTAATTAGCGCCGCAGAAAGTTGAGCAACGTTCATCTCTTACCTTGTGAAAAGAAATTCATTTTCTCCCTATGCGCAGCTTTTTTATGAACTCTTCTCATTCGCCAAAAATAATTTATTCTCTTTCTTCATTAATTTTGTCTTGCTTTGATTAATAATTTATTTTATTAATTTATTTCCCTTTAATTGAAGACTTACACATTAATACATATATTACAAACGTACAATTTCTTTAGGGGATTGTAAAATTTGATGAGTCATTGAATAAGAGTGGGAGGAAAAATCTACTTGGCTTGCCAATGTTATACACAGAAACAGTAGATATTCAGAGGTTTGCCCTTGATTTAATGTACTAAATACTTCATCAATTTCCCATAGCCATAAATTGTAATAAATCCAAAATTAATTTATTTTATTAAATAATTTTAAATACGCGGGTAAGACTACTGATGATATCATACAAATCTAGAAGTTAAAAAAATTTAGATCCTTGCCACTCGAAATTATTATTTGCAATAATCCAATAATTTTCTCATTCAATTTGTTCACAATATTAATAAAACAATTCATATAAAAGAACACAATAACTTTATGATAAATCTTGAATTATAATCGGTGATTCTATTACAATTATTCCGCTATGGTATGATCCTATAGCATATGGGATCTTATCTTCTAATGAGATTTTCTAAAATCTATTCTGGATATTCAGAATATTCTAACTATGATTAAAATTTAGATAATGATTGTAACTATTTGATTTTAAGAATGTTCACCAAAAGTGAAAGCAATATGAATCGTGTACTTTCGATAACTTTCCTTCTCTCTGAGAAGAAGATGGAAAGTCTCAGTGGAATTTCTCGTTCTACAGCAGTGAGAGCAAGCGAAAGCCCGATGAAACGCTGACTATAACTACTTACTCTCCTAGGAGATCTGTCGTACGTTTTCCATAGCAATTACTTCTCGTTCGGTTCAATTAAGCTATTTTGGTGGAGCCGTAATTTAACACAAGGATTTAGCAGTACGTCGAAATGCCCATTAGAGACTGGTAACTAACTTGGTTATACATTGGCAATCCCAGTTCCCGCGGCTCTTGGATGTCGTCGCAGGGGGCAATGGTCGTTCTATGGAGAACCCACTTAGGTTCGATCGCGTCGTTTACTTCAAAATGTAAACGAGAAACGATTATGCGTTCCTATTCACGACGGTTTTTTTTTTAAATTTCATATTCAAAAAATACAATGAACATTCTTGTCGAGAAATAATTTTTAGAATTTATCACTAATGATTATATAAAAAAAATCATTGTACATTTTGTAACGCGGACTTTATGTCGCGTACAAATGATTTAAAATAATAAATTATAATAAATTTTGTAGATAAACGACACCAGGATGGAAATCCAGCCATAATGGCTGTAAAATGTTATAAATTATAAAAAATTTTTTACTTATGATACTCACTTCATTTTCTTTAAATAATTAAATTCATGTATTAACAAACCAACTTGCCAAAGTCGTCAGATTAATAGTCGACCTGTAATAAATAAATTTGGTTCTGATTTGTCCTCGTTCTGTTATGAAAACTCTCACGAGGCATTGAGGATTCTCGACAAATAATTATAAAGACGCCTACTTGGAAAGATTCCCCGGAAAGTGACCCTGAAGGTTCTATCAGAATTCCGCCGGAACTTTGAACGTAATTCCGTCGGAATCCCATCGGAAATTCTTTGGAACTCCGATGGAATTCCGACGGAATTGTGATCGAACCTCCAGGGAGCACTTTCCGGGGAATCTTTCCAAGTGGGCGTCCAGGACATCACTATCTATTATTGAAATTAAAAGTCATCAAGGGCAGAGCTTCGTGGTGTATATATTTGGATAAGAGTCCCGAATATTCAAGAACACCAGGAAGACGAAAGAGCTGTTTTGTTGACGATCTGTCAAACTATTATTGGCAGCAAATTTCCTATGGACTTCTCACATCAATCAATTTAACATGGGATAGTGCAGGTATCTACATTACCAACGACCGCGTATCGATTATAGGTCGCGGATATTATATTGTTGAATATTAATTGATCTAATTGACACCGAGAAAAGAGGCCTCTGATTAGCGACGTTTTCGAGTTTGACTCGTCGGCCATTTTACTCTCATTCTCATCCTGGTGCTCGTCGAGTTAGTGTCATTCTTTTTTGGTGAAATATTTCAAAATGTAAAGTGTAAAATTCACATAAGGCGATGATCGTCGCCGTCATCATTTAAATTCGAACTATGAGTCCCAATTATTTATTTTAGCGTTATTTTCCTTCCGAATCGATTTCATTAATATTATTATTCAAATTCATAATTAATAATATAAAATTATGAATCTAGTCTTTCGTCATTCTGCTGAATTTGATCTTTTTCTAAATTTTGAAGTGAATATTAATAAATGTTGTTTATCATTTAAAATTCGTAAAGTAAAGTTGTTCTTCTATTTCTTGTGAAATAATTAAAAATGTAAAGAGTAATATTTGGACTAGGCGTCATTGCATTGTCAACTTGACGGTAATTTACAATCATTTAATTGAAGTTCGTTTCCTTCTGAGTCGATCTCATTATTATCAAAATTGTAAATTTCAAATTAATTACACTTGAATCTTGTATTTTTGGCCTTTAGACATTATTATTTAATAAATAAATAAATCTGAATCTTTGTTATTCGGCCTTCTGCCACTTTCTTAAATTTTCAAAATTCAAAATGATTATTAATAAATAATAATACTTGTCGGGTTATTTAACTATTTCTTTAGGATTAGTTATTTTCCATAAAATAAATTGGTGTCTTGTCAAATTAATAATTAAAAATTATGGATAACGTAGATTGAATTAAAAAGATAGTAATAAAATAATTAAAATAAAGTTCATTTATCTCATCCTTAAAAATCAAAGTTATAAATAAAAATTAATTAAAATAAAATCAATAATAAATTAAAATCTACGTTATAATTTGCATATAGGAAAATGATTGTCTAAAGCAAATGATAAAATCAAAAAAACTAAAATGATAAAATTGTAAATTTGTTGTTTTACTACAATCATTGGGATGATCTAATAACTAATTCTTAAAGAAAAATGACATTTTCATAGTCGGTGTGATAAAAATTTTGTTGTTAATTTAAGTTCTAGATATGTACTTTCAGATAATAAATAATTACAAAATACCTTTATGGTTTATTAAGAAACAATTCTTGAAAAAGACCTTTCCTCGCTTTACAATTGGTGTTCCCTCCTTTAAACGAGTACAAGTTCAATCAGTATTACAGATTAAATTGATTTAAATCCCTCTATATTTCTTCACTCTTCTCTATTTAAGCCTATCTATTTCCCATTGCAATAAAGATTAACATCTGGAAAACTTATACTCACACCTGATGATTCTATTTACAAGATTTCTTCTAAGAAATATACCACTATTAATCGGACTGTATCTCCAAACTTAGAACATTTGTAAATTAATAATTAAAAGAATGCTATCATCCTTTATTAATAAAGAATTTTAAAAAATTGTACAATACTTGATAATGACGATGACTGCAGTGAAGACAACGCAATTACAGACAGCGATTGTCGCTAATTAGTGCTTTTCGTTATTTACGGTTAAAAAAATGATATATTTTCAAAATGATATCTAAAATAAAATAGCGTTGACAGTTTCGTCAAAAATTAAGAGCATAACAAAATTTATTTTTCTCTTAAAAAGAATATTTTTAAAAAATGCTACAATATTCTTAATTAACAAAATATCATACAGAAATGTAATTTTAAACCAAATTACTTTGTGCACCAATTACGGATAACAATATATACGTGAAGAAAAAAAATAATAAAGTCATGGAAGTTGACTACTTTGTTTTTTACAAAAAAAAAAGAGAGAGACAAATAATGGAATATAGGAGACGACTGAAGAAGGGCATAAAGCGTTTTACGACACTTTACTTGCTGTGAGAATTCAGTCACGTAAAAGCGGTCCCAAGATAAATCCGTAAAACAGTGAAGTCACCGTCTGTTAAGCCAGCCAACCTCTCACATTCTAAACGCGTGCGAGGGAACCTCTTGGGAAGAGATGACAGTGTATTTGTACGCAACAAGAAACGAGTATTATTCCACATCTTTGTATGACCACAAGCGATTTAGAAACTTACAATTACTCTGACCACCAACATGTTATTGTTGTGTCGTGAAAAAATATTTGTATTTTTTTTTTTTGGTTTTACAAACTTGTTTTTGAAAATAAAAGTTAAAATATTGAGCGTTCAAATTGTAGTGAATATAGTAAAAGTATACTTTTAAATACCAAGATTGTATCAAACATGCCTTGTTATAAATTTGGGGTTAAAAATATAAATATATAGTGCCTAACTCAAAAACTTGTTACAATTCCTTAAATTTATATTTTTCGTATAATTATATATTAATTATGATTGTTATAAGGGTGATTAAAATTGCAATTCTCTATCCTGCCCAAAAATCTGGAGGAACTAATTTATAAATCAATGTTCTTTTAGTCAATTAGTTTTAGCCAACCAAAAAAAAATTATTCAACCTCGAATTCCAACATTGACAAGTCAATATTTGTATTTGGTAAAAACAAAATTTTAAATTTAATCACCCATAAAAATGTTTCAGGTGGAGATTAAAGGAATTTCAGGGCCTATAGAATTTAAGGAAGGGCAGAGGATACAATTTAAATTAGATCTTTTGAAACTCAAACAACATGCCCTGGTGAAAGTAAGTAAACTCTTTTTTATTATTATCTGAGAAAAATAGATTATGTTGATTGTGTGTCAGATTTGGTTATTAGGTTTATAAGTAAATATTTAATGACAAATATTTTTAAATTTTTTTATGTAAAGTTCCTTTTATAGTTAAAAAAGATTTATTATGACCAGTTTCCAAACCTTTCTTTTGCTTTTCCGTAGTTTATGAAACAATAGAGTCTGCCTTTCTTTTTATTGCTATCCGACAAGCGCGGCTGTTACCTGAGGCCCTAAATTGCTGGTTGTCGTTTGTTTGCACTTTTAATTTAGTTGTAGTTATAATTCGTTTTCGGTGCAGTTCTAGTTCAACCTTGCCGATGTACACATCGAACTTTTTGTAAGTAGAAGGTTATTATTATTTTATTTGCAATAACATCATTTGTGACAGTCCCCGAGAGAAGGGACCTTAGCTCACCAAAACGAATTTCACAGGGCAAGCGTTTGAAGAAGAAGCAGAAACGTGGAACTCGAAGAGTGGGGCGGAACTTCTGAAAAGTTCCCCCACCACACTAACACAACGTTGTATTTCTGTATACGTGAGCTTCGTCTACTTCGTGTATCTTCGGGTCTCACGTACACGAAGCTCACGTACGCGAGAGTATAGTTGTGTAAGTAAAGTAGTGGGGCTGATTTCTTGAGTGCCACAATCCGCCTCGAAATGCGCTTGACATACCCATCTTCAAAATGTTATTGTGTCAAAAGCAATTATCCTAATCAGTTTTTGACTTTTGCATGTGAAAAAGCAATTCAAAATCTATCATTTACCATATAAAACTCAATATTGACCTCTGATGAGCTAAGGTCCCTTCTCTCGGGGACTGTCACATTTGATTCTGCCGTTCAATTTCATCACTTTTACTTTCTTTCTTTCACTTATTTATTTTTGTAAAATATTTAACACTTTAGAAATATAAGTCTGATGAAAGTTTTAAATGATGACAGCCCATGACAATTAGTTAAAAGTTTTACAAACATTGAGGAGTATTAAATTGTAAAATATTTCCTTATATTTAATATATTAAAGAAAACTCTTACCAATTAAATACTGTTTCAGGTTGGTGAATGGCAACCTAGTATTGGTATCAATATCACGGACGCTTCAGCCTTTTTTGAACCAGGACTTACAAACGTTACGTTGGTGGTTATTACAATTTTGGTGAGATAATTTATTTTATCTAATAAAAATATAACTTGATTTTAAATTTAAACATTTATTTAACACATAAAAAGACATGTATTTTTAAACTTTTGAAATTACTGTTTTTTATTTTGTAAAATTTACTTTATTTGAATTAAAAAAGCAGAGAACTCCCATATACCCAAAAGTCATGTTTTTGTTCACAGTATTGCGCTCAACTTCATTTTTTTTTCTTATTTTAGCGAGATTTTCACTCTGAATGTATAGACGTAAAAAGATCTTGAAATCCAAGGGAAAAGAATAGAAATATTTTCTTACCCTTTAAAAGGCGTTGGAATAAAAAAAAGTTATGGCGTATAAGAAATTTCGACCTTAGGGTAAAGAATAGAATTGTAAAAAATTTATTTTTTCCTAGTTTTATTTTGAAAAAAAAAAATTAAATAAGTATACCGTAAAAGAATATTCTTTTTTGAATGATTGAACATTTGATTATAAATTTAAAGCAAATTTTGTTATACTTGTAAGAATTTTTATAAATATAAAATTTTTAATATCTTTTAAAACAGTGCCATTTAGAAAATTGCAAACATCAATATTTGATATTTATAAGAAGAAAGTATGACATTAATACAGAGAACAAAAATAAACAGAAGACGAATTCAATTTCTATAAACATGAATTGAAGTAATAGTTTAAATTTTATTGGACAGAATTGTTTAATGTAAAATATTCTTGTATAACAAAAAAGATCCACATATTATTATTTCTTAATTAAATTTTAAATTGTCCATTTTTTAGAAAGCTTATCTTCATAATTTCATTAAAAAAAAATGTTTTAAAAGAAAAAATGTTGCAAACTTATTAAAAGTCTATATGTTTTTTCATACTTTCCAATATACAGCCTCTAAATATTAACTACGTATTTCACGTTTTACTTTCTTATTTTATACTTTCAATAAAAAATTTAATATTTATGGAAAGCAAAAATGATAGCTTTTTCTTTGATGTAATACATTTTTGGTTTGACAATTTTATGGATTTTAAGATAAATATTTTATAATATATAAAGTAAAAAATTTTATATTTATAATACACTCTCAAGTCAATATAAAATGCTTAAGAGATTCTATAAAACAGTAATTGGATTTAAATTCTCTAATTGATTGAATATTAAAATGATTCAGAGAGTTTGTAAAAAGAAAATCTGTCAAGTTATAAAAAGTTGTGGAGGTCATACTTTCCGTTTCAAAAAGTAGGGGAAAGTCTGTACGGTTAGGCCACGTTTTGACTTGTGGAAATAACTTCCGTTCTAAACTGAATTTCGGATTTTCTCACGTATGATTGAAAAGATCTTTTCAAGTGCAACACTTTTTCTGAATAACAGAAAATGATTGGACCAAAAGTGTAAAAGTTATAGGCATTTCAAAAAATTACGGTCGGAACAGGGCTTCACGGTTGGGCCACCGTACAAAATCAATGTTATATGAAAAAAAAATGGTTAAAAAAGGCCCGCCACAGAAGAAACATAGTATTATTTTCATTTCTAAATCTGTATAATATTTGCCTGCAACAAATTTTACCCTAATTAAAGGCGCCACCGTCTATGTGAACTGGCATTTGTTAAAATAGTATTTTTCGCGCAATAAAGTTTATGTTTGTACTACGTCAAGCAAATAAAAATTCCCGCTGTTGATTTTTCTCTTTCTTCTCGAAGTTGGTCTGAAAATTCAAGAAGAATGACAAAAATTAATAATATTTAAATTTTTCCAATAAAGTCTAGATTCACTTTAAAGAAACGTTCCTAAAACGTTTCATGTATGTCAAAATAATGTATTAAAAGCGTCTCAAGAGAGGGGGAGAGGAGAGGTCCCAAAAAATCTCACAAAAGTGGAGGAGGTACAAATTTCAAAAAAATCTCATTTAAATTAATGAACGCCTCCAAAACGTTTTCAGAACACGAAACATTTATAATGCGTTATTGCAGTAGACTCGAAATAAGACGTTATGAATCGTTTTAGGAACGTTTCTAAAACGTAAATCTTTGTTTTTTCACTGGTAAACGACGTTTTTGACACATCGCTACGTCGAAAAATGAATTTATGATGTCAGGACGTATCGTAACTGCAAAATTTTAAGTAGCCCAACTAACACTACATTTATTGGCCCAACCATCACTATCACGTCGTTTTACTTTTTTATTACAGACAAACAAACGCAAGATACAAACATCAAATAAGGCACCACATTTTTAAAGAACACTCAAACGAACAAACTTAGTCAACTTACTTTATTGTTTGCATCTTCTTCTTTTGTTCAATTCATTTTTTCGGACACCACAAACAAGTTTTCCTTTTAATCTTGAGCGCACTTTTACAAAACACGTTTATACGAATTGCGCATTTCACTGAGACTTGCTACAAATGACGTAAAAAGTTTATTACCATCGCTAGTAAGTATTTGCATGCAAGGGTAGATGGCGCTAATGTGAAAGGGCTTTAAACACAGTACTGGCCCAACTGTAAAGGTGGCCCGACTATACTGACGCTCCCCTACCTATAAAATGATTTCAAGCTTTACATTTCCCTCATGAGTATTGTATGCATAGAGATAATATAAATAGAGTAGACAAGGTATAGGCGGCTGCGTAAGAGGGAAGTGTCCTGACATAAACAGAATGGGTTGGAAAGAGAAGAAAGATTTAACACCAGTATCTGTCCTTCAATAAGCACCAGCGCAAGAGAGACACCTACTGGTGCTAAAATCGCGTTCTCTTTCTATCAAACGGACGCCTCTATACAGACCATCTCCACTCTATTTATATTATCTCTATGATTGTATGGGGATCATTTTGAGTTCAGGTTTTTTTACTGTGCAATCCATTACACACGCTTTAAAAACGCATCGATTAATCTATTAGCAAACCTTTTACCACTCACCTATAAAAATAATTGGCTTTTAAATATTAGAATATTGAACAACACTTGTAATGGTTTGTAAATATTTTGACTTTTTATGCAAATTCTAATACTTCATTTAATTTACTTCTTTTTAACAAATTCTATTTACACATCAATAGCGATCATTGAAAATAAAACTAGCTTAAATTAATTATTATCCATTACTGATAAGATTGCATCTTAAAGAAAATATAAAAATTTCAATAAAGATGGAAAGTGTTCATGAAATACAAAAATTTATATATACTTTAACTTTACAGTGGTTTCTAATTTTATCTAATTTTTTTATAAAACTTTTTACAGATACTCTGATTCACATTTTGTAGCTTTTGATGGCAACAATTTTAAATTTTATTAATAAGTTGAAAATTTTTAACTATGAAAATTTTTTTATGAACACTTTCATTTTATATTATTCCAAAGATGATTCGAATTATTTTATAAACTCGAATTCAACGAATTCAAATTTATTCTTACTTAAGCAGTTTATTTCAACCTGAGAGTATATAAAAAAGTTGGTTAATGTGATTTTTGTTCTTCTTTATATATATATATATATATATATATATATATATATATCACTCTTTTCTACAATGGTTCGGGGCAACGATGCTCGTGATTCGTTGCAAAACGATTGCGTACTTATCACTCTTGTGAGGCTATAGACTATAGAGAAGTTCATTTTATTATCCCCATAGGAACAACCATACGTAATGCTGAAGAGCGGAGGAAATTTCAGTGGTAACGAGCGTTACGAGGGTTTCTGCATTGACTTACTCAGAAACATAGCAGAGCTGGTCGGCTTCACTTACAGGATCGAACTCGTCCCGGATGGCAAGTACGGAGTTTACGATTACGAGACTGGGGAATGGAATGGAATTGTTCGCCAGCTGATGGACAAGGTAACAATTCTTTCTTCAATTTTATTTATTTTTTCTCTTTTGTTTTTTTTTTATTTTCATCACAACTAACTGCGATGAAGGACTGCAGAACTTTTATAATAGAGACTTTAAAAAAAAGAGAAGAAAGATGAAATAGAAGAGGAAGAAGCAAAAATTATTGACGTCGTTACGCTTATCACCGCACAGGTAGTATGTACTTGGAGTCTCGCGCTAATCGTAAAATCTATACGTGCACCTTCAAAATACTTTCATGTCGAGACTCGAGTATCGTGAAAATACTGACGGAAACTAAATTACTTACTGCGAGTATTATAGTCGACATTTTTTTTCCTTTAAAAAAAAAAAAAGAATAAAGAAAGTCTCCCTCTTTCTGCAACGAAGGGAATTTAATTTAAAATTCAATTTTAAGATTGAAAATAATCGCTTTTGATAAAAATGATCTTATTTGATTTACATGGAGTAAAGCTGGTTTAATTGACGTATTCAAACTTATATGATCATTTTTTTCCTATAAAATAGAAGTAATAGGTTTTGTTCTCTATATCGTACTAATACTTCTTTACTTAAAAAACTTGTGGAGAATAGGATAGTATTTTTAATTTTGCTCACAGCGTGAAGAAAACATTTTTTTATTATACAACATATGTATAAATTATATTTTTTTTGAAGGTCATTTGTATTTAAATAGTATTATTTTTAATTGAAACATTTGTAGAATTAAAGGTGCATAAATAGAATAAACATGACAGAGAAGAGGAGCCTTTACATTTGGTTACGGTAAGCACATGTTAGCACTGCTGAAAAAGTTGTATATTTTTGTGTCAGTTTGTAATTCATTGTAAGTGATTACAGTGTTTTCAGTATTTATTAAAATTTTTGTGGCGAGAAAAAATAGAGAATTCAGTTTGTAATTATTTGTTAGTGATTACAGTGTTTTCAGTATTCATGATAATTTTTTTTTTTTGATGAGAAAAAATTGAGAGAAAACTAATTCTTTTTAATGACATATATTTATGTCTTCATTTTTTTTATTTGGATTTATTTATTATTAATTATTAATAAATTATTATTGTTGTTATTTATTGTAGTGTGAATCATAAAACATGTACGCTATAACATCTCTTTTTAAGTATAGATTATGTTATTAAATTATCCAATTAGTTTACATTGTTTTTTTCTTCTTATGTCAATGAATATTCAGAGCATTGCACATTTCTATATATGTTTGTATTTCTCTCTCTCTCAGTTTCAATTCCCCTTCAAATTCAATTTTGTATAAACTTTTTATTGTTTTCTTTCTAGAAAATAAAAGTAGTTTTTTTTTGTTGTCCCTTCTGGGATTGGGGCAAAAGCGAAGTGCCAAGACCTTGTGAACCTGAATTGGTATGAGTCTCTTCGTTAAGGGTCGTTTACTCAATTCGAATTTCAGATCGACACACTGTATTCTAGAGAGTCCGATTCGAATCACTGTGACACGGTCCGTTTCAGTGAGACACAAATTTTGCAATGCAAATGTCAATGATGTTTCCATTGAGAGATAGAGAGAGGCGGCGGCGCCGGCGGTACCACTCGGAAATGGTGCGTTGTATGTGTGTTGCAATAGCACCACGCGAGAAGCTGTTCGGTGGTAACGAAATACGCGAATAATAAACCAACATGGATAATCAAGTGCGTTTCCGACACCAACATTTCTGTGTTGTAGAATCACTCTACAAAGCCTCCGGTATCGATAGCGATCAGTAATTAGGAATCTCTAATGGAAATTGAAATTTCCGAATAGCTTAACTATATACATGACCATCTCACTAAATTGGTTTCTGATTTAAGTAAAGATATTGCATTAATTTAAAATTTTTATTTATTTCACTCTAAAAAAAAATTATTACAAAAAAGAAAGAAACTTTTGAAAAAGATAAAAAGCTTTTTATATTATAGATCTCCTTCTCTCCCTTCCCTTGTTGGAGAACTTTGAGAACATTAAAAATTACACTCACGAAACTCTCGTTAAGTTATCTTAGATTAATTTTTGACTAAGGCTTCCAGTAAAAGTTCCTTATTGTGTGAATGAAAAGAAAGTTTTAAAGTGTCATTAAACTGTAATTAACTAAATTAAAGAAATACAATTTCATGAGCTAAGTAAGTGACATTAAGAACTGAAAGATTATTATTAGATTGAAATAAAATCCTATTTAAATACCAAGATTTAACAAACTTATTGTTTTAAAAAATAAAATAGAAATTTATCGCCTTTATAAGAGTTTATCATTTTGTTTTTATGGATTTTTTTAAAAAAAAAAAATGACAAATTAATGAGAAATGAGTTCATCAAAATGTGGAGTCTGATGAAGCATCTACCCATTCTGTATATTAAGATCAGTTAATAATACTGATGATATAATTAATCACATCATGCTATATTGTAGTCTGAGGAGCTTTGGTATAGCCTTCTGTGCTTTATTAGCAAAAAAGCATTTTTCTTTCACCATACTCTGTGGTTGTGTTCTCATCAAACACATTAATTTTCCAGCTATACATGACTGTATTATGTGTGGATTATTATCATCGCGAGAGCAGAGAATAAATATTGCAGAATCTCTAGAATCTTAGATTTTTTCCCTTTATTGGATTTGTAAATTAGAAAATGTCTGCTGAAAAATTTATACTCATTTACAGCTAACTATTGTTATCTTCCTTAACGGATTACCTTGTGAAACGTATAGTTTAATAGTAACGAAAAATATTTTACAATTCAAATTTTTTTTATTAGAAAAAGTTATTGAAATTAGAAACAAAATTCCCATAACTCCTGATGTCACTTCCGAAACGTGAGTCTTTTGAATGGGATCATTTTTGGGGTTCATTTAACATCCTCCCTTAATATCTGACGTGCTCGAACAGATTTTTTTTTCTATTTTGTATCCACCCGGATTGCCACGAGCACCACGCAAACCGGCAGATGAACATACCTTTGGTAACAGAGACACGTTGGAGTTCAAAACTATATTAATATCTGACACGCTCAAGTATTTCCATGTAATTGTTTTTTTACATTTTTGAAAATTTGTATACGCTTAACGCACCACTGAAAGGGAAAACTTTATAGAACCTTTTATTCTCCTTATCATCCAAACTACAAAATATCATCGTACCGACGACGCTCGAGTAAATCCCCATTTAGCATCATGGGCTCCCCTACTACAATATATAGCTACCTAGAAAGGATCATACACTAGACTATAGGTACTTTTGTGCCTAGTGAACTTCTTGAGAACCTATTGTCATTCTTCCTCGCCTCTAAGACTCGGTATATTTAGTAGAGGTACTTCTCTCTGAATGTAGTCAATTAAAGAATTGAATATTGGTATTACCTTCGTGAGACACCGATCGTCCTCGCCTTCCTAGACTCTTCTACAGGTACTTTCGTGAGGAAATCACCTGCCTTATTCCTTGTTTTTTATGACTCGATCCCAGATGAATGCAGTTACGTCTGCTTCATCTGAAATTGAGAACTACAAGATTGATTCTCTATTTCAGGGTCCTTCCTAGATCAAGGTGACATCTAGTGGAAATTATATCCTCAGTATTTCGCGTCGGGCATGAACATCAGATAAAATCCTGATGTCTAGTCCCTTGATTAATCCTTAACCAATCTTTAGCGTGCGCGAAACTTAGTATCGTTCGATGACGAAATCCGCAATTCAATTTCTAGAATAGCTTAGGAGAATAAAACGTAAATAAAGGGAAAATGTGTTGGTTAAAACTTATGCTAGGCTAGGCATAATGTTACGAATCTAATAACAGGCAGGACTAGAAAATGGCGGAAGGTCACTGGTGGCAAATGATTTCCTTTCACTTGATACTTAACCAGATAATAGTTTACATCATAATTTAATGAAAAAATAAAATCGTCACATTAGCACATATTTAGAATCAGTCAATCGCGTTCTATTCGAGTGTCATATCTAATTTTTTTCTTTTATTTTCGATCCTTATCTGTTATCTCGCTCGCTTTTATTTTTTCAATATGACTCATGTTATATAGTCATATACTGTAAAAAAAAGGAGTTGAATTTCAACTCCCCAGGGGATGCTATAAAAGTCCCACCCATTGAGGAGTTATAGCAAAGGGAGTTCAGATTAGGGAGTTCAACTTTAACTACTTACACGAGTTGGAGAATATGATCCTCCATTATAAAATAACTCAAAAGAGAGTTGATACTGAACTCCCTTCCACTCTTGGTTAACTCCTTTTTCGAGTTGATTTTTAACTCAAATAATCGAACTCCCAACTCCTAGTGCCGTTAACTGCCTAAATTTTTTACAGTGTAGTATTTACATACATTGACTGCTTTAAAATCATTTACCTGATAGATTAAACCAATTACTACAAGGCCGTCAGATTTTTGCTTAGGATTTTCAAGTGATCCATAACTGCTTTTATAATGTACTAAATGCCCTTCTAAAGCAAATCTACATGTAAAAGAAATATAAAAAAATAAAGTTATATATCAACATTAGTTTTTTGTCACTTAAAGAAAAATTGTTTAAATATGGTTATAGATATTAGCGTTGCCCATTAAATGTATGTTCACCTCCTTCTGAATTCGATTGACCCCAATGAAAGTGTAAACTGTGGAATAAATACGAGTCATTAAGAGGTGCACCTGATACATTTGGCATTTTACCTGCTGGCCATTTTGCTAAAATTTCCACTGTAATTTTTCAATTATAATAAATGAAAAATTTGTGTCACAGTTTGATAAAGAGAATAGAAAAAATATTTTCTATATCACAAGCACATTAATTTAAAAAAAATATTGAATCAAAAGATTGTACTCGTACCACTGTGACCATTATTTCTTAATTTCATCGCACTTGGAAGAACGTTGTAACCTTTTAATTTTAATGATTTAGGTATAAAAATTTTATCGGTTGTTAAATCTATATTTATAGATGACTGACGACGTCCACCACAATCAGGAAATTCATTTTTCCAAAGTTCCAAATTGTTATAATCAATACCTGAAAATAAAGTTACCTTTAGGATCAAAAAAACTATTTAATTACGGAGAATTTATAAATTAAATAACTTATCCTATTTATAATAATTATATTTTAAAGAAAAAAGAATTTAGCTCCATAAATGTAGATCGACTCATACAATAGATTTCTAAAAATTGATGAATCAGTATAAGTACTGTAAAAGCCTACTTAGCCATTTCAGGTTATTTTGCCTAAGCCCTAATCAAAAAAATTCTCTGATGCAAGAAACTTTTTTCTACGTGTACTTCAATGTAAAAAAATTTAACTAACTTTACGGGAATTTTGTTTTAAGCTTCTTATATATATTATAAATAATTGCTTACTTCAGTAAGATAAGGTATAAGAAGGACAGATAGTTTACCGTCTTGGGAACACATGACATTTTTTCTATAAAAGAAATAATAGCAAAGAAAGCACTCAATGTGTTTAATAGGTAAAAGGAAATAAAATAAATTGACAATAAAGCAATTTAAATTTATTGTTTTAAAACTGATAGTTTCTTCATTAAAATGATAATATTTTATAGACCATTATGCTAATCTGCATCGTTAATTTTAAATTATTTAAATACTTTAAATAATCAAAATTATTTTAAGCTTCAATTTTTCAATGTTATTCCCATTTCATAGTTTTATTGTTCTAAATTTTTTATTTTGTAATAAAACCTATGACAAAAAAATTTCTAATGTAAAATAAAAAAAAGAATAATATATTTTTTGGATCCCAACAACTTTAATTCTGTTCAGTACTTTGTCTTCACACGTTTCCTACAATAAAATAGAGATGAGACTTTGTTTCATTCGCGTAAGCAAAAATCGCTCTATAGAGACATATCACTTCAATTGACTGACTTTCTCTATTTTGTCGAAAAGTTTTATGCGTCTGTGAGATATGACACGTTTTTCTCATCTTTCTTCTCGCCAACCAGAAATCTTTGAAGAAGTTGCATTTAAAACTTTATTCTTTTCTTTCCTATAGAACTGTTACAGATTTTATAATTTTACCAACTTTTTATATTCTACAACTGTAAGTATCCTTTAAATCATTGAAATTATATTATACTCCGAGAACCAGCGACAGATTTAGGTCAGTCATTTCCTCTCGGACGATAATTTGTGTGATAATTGTTGCAGTTGTATCATGAAGCTACGTGACTATCAGGTGTATTACCAGCGGTGGGTTAGAGAAGTACACTTCCCAAATAGGTAAAAAAAATTATTGTCAGTCATTTCCTCCCGATTGATACTTTGTCAGATGATAGTTCACATCATAATGTAAACAAATAAAAACGTCAGCTGGCTGTAAAGTGGTGGATTATACGTCACCGGAACATGTAAAAAAAATTATTTTTTCAGTGATTTCCTCTCACTTGAAATTTACCCAGATAATAGTTTACATCATAATTTGATGAAATAAGATCGTCAGCTGGCACAGTAAATAGTGCTCGTCAGGAGCCGGACTTGAAGAGAATAATGCCTCCAATTAATTAATTTAATTAATTAATTTATCCTATTCGTATCACATTAGCACATATTTAGAATCAGTCAATCGCGTTCCATTTGAGTGTATTATCTAATTTTCTCTTCCATTTTCGATCCTTATCTGTTATCTCGATCGCTTTTCTTTTTTTAATATGACTCATGTTATATGGTCATAGTATTTACATACATTAACTATGCGAATTTCCTCCCTGCGAAGACCTTCTGGCCAGCACCGGATCTGGGTCTAGCTATACTTTCCAGACCAGCATCACTAGACACAGTCTAGAAAATACAGATTAAAAATTTGTAGGTATCTTCTGCCTAGCACCAGAGCTGGGTATCGTTAGATCTTCCAGACCAGCATAGCTAGACACAGAGTAGAAATTACAAAATAAAAATTTTTAGTTATTTAGACCTTCAGTCCAGCACCAGATCTGGGTCTGACTAGATTTTCCAGACTAGCGAGGCTATTTAGGTTCTGACTAGTGACTGAGTAGCACCAGAACTAGGCCAAGCCAGACCTTGCAGACTAGCGATCCTAGACGCTTTTTAGCTTGCGCCAGGCTTGACTCTAGATGTTCCAGAAGATTTTTCTACACTAGATGCTATAGTCTTTCCTGGACTGACTATCGCTTCTTTTACCCCTCGTTCATTCTGTCCACCATCGATCTTTTGAGCCTTGTTAATAAGTTCGTTTTTCATTGTCTTCAAGACAAGAACGCTGATTCCAGTCTGTGGAATTAGAATTACAAAAGGCACTAACGCGTGAATCGCGCGAAGTGAAAAGTGGAAAATTGTATCAAATAACGTATATAAATAAGCGATCATTCTAATGCCCGGCTTCTGACGCACATTCTTCATTATGCCAGCTGACGATCTTCCCATCCACATACAGTCAACTGACGATATTATTTCATCAAATTGTGATGTAAACTATTATCTAGGTAAGTCTTAAGTGAGAGAAAATCACTGATAAAATAATTTTTTTTACATGTTCGGGTGACGTATAATCCACCACTTTATGGACAGCTGACGTTTTTATTTGTTTACATTATGATGTGAACTATCATCTGACAAAGTATCAGTCGGGAGGAAATGACTGACAATAATTTTTTTTACCTATTTGGGGAAGTGTACTTCTCTAATCCACCGCTGGTAACGCAGCTGATAGTCACGTAGCTTCATGATACAACTGCAACAATTATCTCACAAATTATCGGCCGGGAGGAAATGACTGACCTAAATCTGTCGCTGGCTGCCGGACTATTAATACAGGCGATTAATTTTGATCGCCTTTTAATTCGTGATCAGCTATCCCGAAAAATCTAAGATACCAAATTTTATAAAACTCAAAACGGACTTCAAATTTGTGTTCATCAATCCCAAAAACATAGAATCTAGTCAAAGGAACATTTCATCGTTTTCTTTTTTGTGGTCCTGAGTAATTTACTTTTTATTTATGTAAATTTTTGTTTACAAGTTTAAAACATTAAGTAATTTGAAGGTATTTTGAATGAGTCGAAGCAATTTTGAAATTACCTTTATACCTGTTAGCTTTGTATATATTTACATTTAAGTGCTAAGAGTTCTGTAAGCCGAAGTTCATAACAATAAGGATAGACAATCCTAAAGATAATTAAATCAGTTGCAATTCGTGCTTTGACCTGTTTAGACGTAGTCTAAGTGTTAATTTTTGTAATTTTAAAGACAAAACTTCACTGTGTGCAATATTTATTTTCTTCATTTTTTTTTATTTTTTATTTTCACATTTTTCGAAATAAAACTTGAAAAAGTCAAATCTTTTAATTTGTGAAGGGAAAAATTCTAGTTTCAAACCTTTTTGTCATTTTAGTAAATTTTTTGTTCCGGGGAAAATTGGAAATTCTTAAAATCGTGTTCGCTTAAATCTTTAATAAATAAATTTTATTTCCTCATATATGTGATTTCGGGTAGCGTTGGAAATTTTTAAAATCGCGTTTGTTTCCTGCAGATGTTATCATCAGAAATATATGTAATACATCGAATGCAGGCCAAGGTTAGAGAAATATTTTTTATAAATTATATTTCCATGCAATTGTATTTATTCTAATTTGTTTTTTAAATATTATTTTCTTTTTTAAAGATTAGTATCATTTTTAAACTGACGAAACTAACATTTAAAAGTTTTAATTAGATTTCATATTTAGAAGAAAAAAATTATTTGATTAAAAGAATCTGTTACTTGACTATTAGTTTATTTGTATTAAATAATTATTGAGTTATATTTGGTTCAAAAAAAATTATATTGTCCAAATAAATATTTATTTAATAATTGCCAAGTAACCGACTATTTCAAGCAAATAAATTTTCTTCCAGTGTATGTATTTTTTATCAATGAATTTTTTTTTACATTAAACCTTATTTTATTTAATTATCTATTAATTTATAATTTTTTAATAATATTAGTTGCTAGGAAAGAGACACCACATTGAATTAAAATTTTTACAATTATTACGAACATAATAATACAATCGTCCATGCAATGGTTGAACTGGTCTAAAGTTTTCACGTACATCTCCTTGTAACACTAATTGTCTGAAAGCCGCGATCTATAGAAAAAAAATGAAATTTAATTAAGAAATCTTAAATATTTGTGCTTTTGTTTAAATATACTTTTAGTATTCCAAATTCAAACCTGTCTTTCGTTTACTTTACGAAGATTTTCAGCAATTATCCAAGTTACAATTTGATAACATGGAGGAGTGGTTAAAGATCCTTCGTATGTTATAAAATTTTTTTCATTATTTAAATGAAAAATTGATAATGGAAATGGCGGAATTCTTACTGATGTATCAGGTTGTATTACCTTATGCAAATTTTTTACAATAGGTTCAAGATTTGAAGCACGACCAGTAGTAAACTAGAAAAAAAAATGTTTGGTTTCATATGTAAATAATGGTTATTTTTTTATAAAAAATATAATTATATAATTTATTATTAATGATAAATAAAAATATTCATTCATAAATGTTTACTGTGACATCAAAAGTAAAAAAATATGATAAATTTTACTACTTATAATTTCGTTTAAATTACCTGGTAAATTAGACCAATTACTACGATACCGTCAGATTTTGTTGTAGCATTTAAAAGTGATCCATAACTACTTTTATAATGTACTAAGTGAGCTTCCAAAGCATATCTATTTTAATTATTTTTTGTTTTTAATTATTTTTTAAATATTGTCTAAAATACGAAAAATTATGGTTACCGTTGATCATTAAATGTATGTTCACTTCCTTCTGAATTCGATTGACCCCAATGAAAGTGTAAACTGTGGAACAGATACGAATCACTAAGAGGTCCACCTGATACATTTGGTACTTTATCTGATGGCCACTTTGCTAGAATTTGTACTGTAATTTTTAATAATAATAATAATAATGATAAATAAATAAATGTGTGTTTAAAAAGGATTATAGAAAATATATTTTTTCTATAAGAACGCGCATTTAAATATTATTTGAATAAAGGTGATAAAAAGAAATAATCGAAATATTTTACACCTACCGCCATGACCAGAATTTATCATTTTCATTGCAGTTGGAAAAATGTTGTAACCTTTTAATTTTAATGATTTGGGTATAAACATTTTATCGGATGTTAAATTTATATTTATAGGAGATTGTCGATTTCCGCCACATGCAGGAAATTCATTTTTCCAAAGATTCACATCTTTGTAGTCAATACCTAAAAAAAAAAAATATTGTACATTAATGACCAAAATAAATTTTTAATTAGCAAGAATTTCAATTAATTTTAATAAAATGTTTTTATTTATAATGTTGATGATAATTTCATATTAAGAGCATTTAATACTAAAACTTAATAAAAAAAAATAAACCATCTCTCACAAAATAATCCTAAAAATTGATGAATCAGTATAAATACTACTAAAGCCCATGTAGCCATTTCAGAATATTTTACTTATACACCTAAAAAAATCTCCTTTTATTCAAAAAAAATAAAGTAAATCCTTCTTGATATTTATTTTAATAACAAAATTTCTTTGCATTAGAAATATTTTTTATTTAAAGAATTTGTTGTTTAATCAAAAATATTTTTAAGAGAGAAAACTTTCTTTTATTCAAATTTTATAAATTTTTTCTTTGACAATTTATACCAAAATGTAAAAATATCTTTGATTCAAATAAATTTTCGTTTCTTGTATGTATACTTCAATGTAAAAAAGCAAACTAACATGAAGGGAATTTATTTTAGCCTTTTTATATATAATAAATAATTACTTAGTTCAATAAGATAAGGTAAGAAGGACAGTTAATTTACTGTTTTGGAAATACATGATATTTTTAATACAATGAAATAATTGCAAAGAAGGAATTCAAACTATATAATAAACTATAAGGAAAAGCTGAAAATGAACAATAGAAGAATTTAATTTTATGGTTATATGGCTGATAGTTTTTTTCATTGAAGTGATAATTTTTTTAGACCATTATGTTAATCATCATCAATATTTTTTTTTTTTTTTTGCAAACTATACTTTTTAGATTACATTTTACTTCTATAAGGAAAATATTAAGAATTTAATTTTTATCTTCATTTTATTGCTCTAATTTTGTGTATTGTTAAAAGTTTCATGATTATTAAAAAAAAAATTTTATCAAGTCGTTTATGAGATATGCATTTTTGAAAATTTCAAATTTTCAAAGATCTGTTTTTAATTATATAACTGCTTGATTTTATGCCAACTTCAAGTTTACCAGAAAATAATACCAATAACCAGTAGCACCTTTACATTTGACTAATAAAAGAGAATAGTATTTCTAAAAGTCACTAGATATGAAAAAAGAAACATAAAATAGAAAAAAAAGAATATAAAAATATATATTCTGTATCGTAAGTTAGACTCTATTTAGTATTTTGTGTGCACACTTTTCCAATAATATAGAGGAGTCTCGTGCAAGCAAAAGTGACTCTAGTGACATCTCATTTCAACTGACTGGCTTCCTCTATATTTTGTGGAAAACTTCTAAGCGTCTGTGAGATATGACACGTTTTTCTATCCTTTTTCTTCTCACAATTCACACACACACACATTCCAGAAATCTTTGGAGAATGTCGCATTTAAAACTTTTTCATTTTCCTTCCTACAAATAAACTGGATGTATACACATTTCACAAGCAGCTTTTATTTTTTTTTCTCATTCTTCCTTCTTGGATAATATTCAGACAGATATTAATTATTCAGGGAATAATAATAATCGTTCTGATGGGGAAACATAATACTGTTAAGCTTAATAACACCACTTAATATCTCTACTTCATTTAATGTAAGCTATCTTGGGTATTATGCTTTCTTTCGATTATTATTTTCTCACTTCATTAAAGAACCTCATGAAAAAAAATGTACAAAATTGTGCTATTCATTTAATTATTATTATTATTATTTACAACTGTACTAACATTAATAAACATTATAATGAAACTCTCAAAAAATGATGATATTCCAGATTGCTAAAATTAATCCCTTGTATAAATAATACCACTTTTTTTGAATTCAGAATATTTAAATATTTTAATTAACATTTATTTCTACCAATTGGGTTCATTGATTTTGACCTTTTGAAAAAAAACGCTTTTCAAAAAAATGTAGTAAATGTTCAAAAATACTGAAATTAAATTGATTCTGTGGATTAGAAAATATTTGTTAAAAATTTACTAAATCGTTTATTTTGATCAAAAACAAAATTTTGGGCCATTTGTGGTTAAAAATGTGCGGGTTTATGAATAAAAATATAATAATAAAAATATTAAAATAGTAATTATTATTTATAATATTTATAATTAATACAATTAACTTTTGTAATAATTTTGTTTATATAAATTATTTTTACTATTAATTATTGAAAATCTAAATAAAATACTGAAATGAACAAAATTGTTAACCCTTTCATTTTAGTTAGAAAAATTTTATTTTTTCAAACAAATTGAGATTATAGAGGATACAATATATAAACGAAAAAAAGTAACACAACAGAAATGAACTTTAAAAATCTAACTTCATCCTCATCTTGCGTGCTCCTTCCCAATCTTTTGCATTGTTAAACGCAATTGCGAAGAGACCTAGAACGCTGTCTTCGCTCAAGTTGAATTTTTCCATCAGTACATCTGGAATAATTAAAAAAATTCTAAATTTTAATAAATAAATAAATATCGATTAAATTTTAATAAAATAAAATTTTATATGTTTATATAATTAGTTATTAGAATTATTTTTTTAATGATAAGAAAATTAAAAAGTTTCAACAATTTGTAATTTCAAAAATTTCAAAAGGTATCATTAACCTAAAGAGAAATAATTTCAAGAACAATCTGACATTTATTTTTATTACTTGAATGTGGTCATTAAAAAAAGAAATACCAAAGACTTCATTTATTACTTTTTTTAAAAATGATTTTTGTAGTCTAGGGCCCTATCAGGTCCTGGTAATTCCCCGATCAGGCTATAATGAGGCAACCCTCAATCAGGACCAGATAGCAAATAGGATTTAACTAGATCAATTTCTACACGGGCATCTCTGGTTCCGATCGTCTAGCGTCTAGCGAGGAGTGATAGTTAGTGATCGATGAATGTAGGAGAGCAACTCCACTTTGACGGACTGAAAAATCTTTAGATTCGTATTGAGGAAGCAGAAGTCGATAAGTTGGACGTGGATCTCGGAGCAACTCTGAAGAACGCAGAGGACAACCACAAGGACTGGAGTATATCTAAATATTTAAAAAACGTAACGGTAAAGTGGAGGAACTCAGTAAGTGTAGAATCAGCATCATAGAAGAGAAGTATAGAACGAGACAGTCCGGAGGAAATGACTTCAGAATAGGGCGCCTGTAGCCTACTGCATGTCGTAAAAGGTGACTAAAAGGAGGATCGTACCCTTCTGGTTAAGTACCGCTTCCACCGAGACGCTCAGTAGGGACAAATCGATGATGTATGAACGCAGTACGCCTACATATGATGTACACCTGTTTGAAATAGGGTTCATCATTTCCAAGGCAGCCATGGATGACTGGTCGAGAATTTGTCTTCCCGTAACCCATCGCATGTCGTAAAAGGTGTACAATGACTGGAACTAACTGCTTCGCCATTTCATTGGTCATTCTCTTCTTGCACTCTAGACATCGTCTATTTTGTGGGAAAAAAATAAGGCATCACAAGAAATTCTATGATGTAAGAGGAGTTTTTCTATTCCCGCAGTACCTTGCGGGAAAGTAGCAAAATTGTTAGGCCATGAACATTTTGAGTCACGAAAGGAAAAACGTCGATTGAAGAGTCATATTGCAGATCCGCGAGTTAGATTCCCTTACCCAAGAAGATGAGGTCCAGGAAATGCTGAAAAAGAAACTTGAAACGTCAGGAAGCAGGAAGGTGATGGTCCTGGGACCCAAACACCGGGGAATGAAGCTCAAGCTTCTTGTCACAAAAACCCACATGAATTTTCAGATCAACCCTAGAGGAAGCTAAGAAGACTGTCGCGCATACGAAGAATAAATAGGCCAGAAAGATTGATAAAAGACACCTTTTCACGATTTGAAAAAGTGATATTTTTTATGCAAGGAATTAGTTTTAAAAATGTGGAATAGTATTTTTAAAGAGCCCTAAAAAAGTCAAGAAATGTAGCGTTTTTTATTATTTATGTTGTGTGGGTGCTAGTTTAACGCACACAGAAAAAAAGCTGATGTAATTCTTGTTGTGGGTATAATTTCGTCCAATGCTGTAAAACCAATAAGGTTTAACACTAAACTAGGGTAGAATTTATTGTGGGTTATTCTAACATGTTGGAAGAACAAAAAATTTTTTTGTTTCTTTTTTATAATTTCATTTGTGGAAATGCTGATTTGCCAAACATTGGGAAAAAAATTTCTCAACATGGCGATAATATAAAATCATAAAGCAATATAAATTATTATCTGAAACTAAAAATTAGTCAGTTGACAGTGGATTCTTTTAGTCAATTATTGTTATAATAATCTGGAGTGGAATTACGAATAGCAACAGCGCTACAAAAATATCGCTACGTAGCGATTTGAAGCTACATTCACTTAAAAAAAATTTTTAGTTACTGGGTGACTCAAAAAAATTGTATCAGTTTCCCAGATTTAGGTTAGCACATAAATGTTTCGCTGGTAAAATTCAAAGATATAAATTATATTATGAGTACTTTTTGAAGCGGAAAGTATGAAGTTAAAAATTATGGATTCAAGTTAAATTTATTCGAATAATCAAAATGTTTAATCAAATAATTTTTTGTAAATTATTTTATTGTAAAGTAGCAGTTGGCAAACATGAAGTTAGAGAATTGATTCTACCTTCATGTTGTATTTGTTTGCTACGTAGATAAAATCTTTTATGAAATTCTATGCCCAAAGTAGTATAAGGAGGCCCTACTGCTATATTAAGCCCACGAAAAGTTGAAGCTGATTTCCTCGTTTCTCTTACAATTAACGGAGGTGTCGAATCTATCGGAAAAGTTGGGAACTAGTTACCCACACTGACACAAAATGTGTACATACAGTAAACAACACATAGAACTTTCGCAAAATGGCTACCGTGACATAACCTGCATAAACTGATTGTTTTTATATCGCTTTGTTTTTTTCTGGTTTTTGTAAATAATTTAAAGAAAAAATAAGGAAATATGATTAGTTATTCTATTAAAAGTTGCAAAACAAATTGTGTTAAAGGCAATACAAAATATAAATCTATTTACAAAACTATTTTCAATGAAATCCAAATAATAATGATGAGTTTCATTTTAATTATAAATCTTATTAAAGTATATTTTTATTACAACCATAATTAAAATAAAATTTAAACAGTTTAATAATTTATATTCACTTGGAGTTACTTATTTTACCTCGATACTGTATTTTTACACAACATTAATAATTATATCATGTTTATATACATGGAGATTCTCCATGTTTATATCGCTCATGTCACTTTTAGCAGACGAAATTTCGGAGGTGTAAAATTTTCCCGTTAGGGTTCGACACCTCCATTAATTGTAAGAGAAACGGGGAAAATGCCTTTAACTTTCCCAGACAGTGGGGTCTCCTTATACTACTTCGTGATTTTATGTCAAAGGTCTTATCCAGTGGGTTTATGTTTATATTCTCTTTGAAATTACGATCTTGCAGTTTAAGCTTTGAAGAAACTGTCAACGGTATTTTATTTTGGACATCATTTAGAACAAATTTCATTAAAAATATGTACGTTTTTAACCCTAAGTAGCTAAAAGCGCTACAAAGCGACTAGCGCTATTCGTAATCCCACTACTGCACTCTGCAGTGGGATTACTAATAGTGCTAAACGCTTTCGTTGTTTAGAATTAAAAACTTACATATTTTTATTTTGAAATTAGTTCCAAATGAAGACCAAAATAAAATACCGTTGACAGTTTCTTCAAAGCTTAAACTGCAAGATGATAATTTAGAAGAAAATATAAACATAACCCCTCTAGATAAGGACATTGACATAGAATTCATGTCAATTTCCTAAAATATTTTATCTACGTAGCAAACAAATACAACATGAAGGTGGAATCAATTCTCTAACTTCATGTTTGCCAACTGTTAGTTTCAAATAAAATAATTAACTAGTGACGAAATAAATTATACTTTAATATTGTAAATAACCTATTAATTTAATAAATAACAACTTTAAAAATAAATTATCTAGTTTATTGTTAAAATAATTTATAAAGAAAATTGCATTCCTTTTAATTAGTTGGTTTTTGTGAATTTGAAGATTGACACGAATACTCTTAATTGATAATGTAAATGCAAAAATTGAAGCTCTTAAATTTCCCTAAATTTATTGTCCGCCCCTCCACTCTACTCGAAATTTTTAAATATTAAACAATTCATTACGAAAAAATTTTGATATAGTATGACAATGGTTTTTTGTTGTTTTTAATTGTTATCAAGTAAGATTAAAAAAATTCTTCAGACAAATAATATTCGTCATCTTATATCCTTCACAATATAGTATTTGTCGAAAAAAATATGAATTGAGCAATGTTTAAAAATTTGTTAAGTATAGTGGAGTGGTAGATAATATATCTACAGTATTTGAAACATTCGACCAGTTATCGTATTCACTCATAAATTTTATATATGTCAATATTTCTTGTTATTTTAATGTGACGAAGTGTTTATTTTTTGTTTTTTCAATAAACTTATCCTATATAGTGAGGTTATAAAAATGTCCAATTCTTCGAATTTGTATAGTTGTTTTTTTTTTACTTCAGAATAACCTCCTTAGTGATTGACCTATTTTTTATTTATTTGTGTTTATTATTAGTAAAAGAAAACTAAAGATGTCAGCAAATGTTTTAAAAATAATTATTTTAATTCAACAAATTATTGCATTGCACTGTAAGAAATATTATTATTGCTCTATTTTGATGATTTAATTAGAACTTTTTGAATTTTGTGTCAAAGAACGTTGAAAGTGTCAAATAATAGAAAGAATAAAAAAAATTTAGAAACATTTTTTAACATTTTCTTAAAAACTTTAAATCATATTTTATTAAAATTATGAATTAAATTTTAAAACAAGTTAAAAAATTTTTTTTTTTTAATTAAATATTATTTATTTGAAGGTTTTGACTATAAACATGTAGACCAATGGAAGAATGAATTTCCTATGTGCGGTGGAAGACGTCAATCTCCTATTAATATTAATTTAACAGGAAATGTAAAAAAATTTCTTACAGACACAATAAAATTAAATGATTATTGGAGAACTCCATTGGAAATGACATTAACAAATGATGGTCACAGTGGTATGTAGAATGTATAATAATAATTTATGTTAATAATATTAATAATTATTAACTAATTTTATATCATACTGAAATTTTAAATAATAATAAATTGAACAAATTTCATAGAAATATCATAATGTCCTGTAATCAATTTATAGAAAGAATTTAGTAAAGACATTTATTATTATAATTTATACGCTTTATTAAAGTAAAACTGACCACAAAATGGCCTGATAACTCAATTCCAAATCTATCTGGTGGATTACGAGGGCGTAGTGAATATCTTTTCGACAGCTTACACTTTCATTGGAGTCGAACAGATGACAGTGGCACTGAACACTCAATTGATCGACGACGGTAAAATCTATTAATCGCTTTTGTCTATTTTCATAATATATTTTTCATTTTTTTTTCTTTTTAATTTTTATTTTTCATATTTAAAAAAAAATCCCTGATTTAATTTTTACTATTTTTGAATTAGTGATCTATATTAGTGATCTATATTAGTGATCTATATTAGTGATCTATATTAGTGATCTATATTAGTGATCTATATTAGTGATCTATATTAGTGATCTATATTAGTGATCTATATTAGTGATCTATATTAGTGATCTATATTAGTGATCTATATTAGTGATCTATATTAGTGATCTATATTAGTGATCTATATTAGTGATCTATATTAGTGATCTATATTAGTGATCTATATTAGTGATCTATATTAGTGATCTATATTAGTGATCTATATTAGTGATCTATATTAGTGATCTATATTAGTGATCTATATTAGTGATCTATATTAGTGATCTATATTAGTGATCTATATTAGTGATCTATATTAGTGATCTATATTAGTGATCTATATTAGTGATCTATATTAGTGATCTATATTAGTGATCTATATTAGTGATCTATATTAGTGATCTATATTAGTGATCTAGATTCTAAAAAATCTAATTGTTTTAAACAATAATTTGTTATTTGACGATTTTATCCCGGTATCTTCTAAAAGATATTATTTTTTTTTAAAAACTAGATTCGCCTTAGAAATGCATATAGTGCATTATAACAAAAAATATGGATCAATTTTAAATGCTGTCAATCGTTTTGATGGATTAACCGTAATAGGTTTAATTTTTCAGGTGATATGAATAAAATTCTTCTTATTTATATAATTTTTTTTTTATTTTATTAAAAATTTGTAACATATTGTTATTGATATAATATTAATATTTTTATAACATTGTTTCATAAATTTATGAACTACAAGACTAAGAATGATAATTATATGTTTTATAGTGTTTATAAAAAAAAATGTTTCACACTTGTGTCGATAAATTATCATCAGAATATTTGAGAATTAACATAATCTGATAAGAATAATAATTTTATTTTAAAAATAATTATGTAGATTAATGATGCTGATGATTCGACACTTTCACCAATAGTAACTCAACTACGACATGTTACAAAAAAAGGAGAAACTGTGAAAATAAATCCATTTCCTTTGTCAATTTTCGATTTAGACACAGAAGACATGTTTATTACTTATGAAGGATCATTAACAACACCACCGTGTTCTGAAACTGTAACATGGTTATTGACTCAAAATTATCGCTACGTAACCAATGAACAGGTTTTCATTATTTTGTCTTTTGTTATAAAAATTATTTATTTTTATTTAGAAAATCTATATTTATATATTTTATTTAACTAATTCAAAATTTATTTCATTTGTAGATAAAGACTTTTAGACAAATAAAATTAGACAATGGAGATGAAGAAAATGTGAGACCAATTCAACCAATAAATCAACGATTACATTATTTTGTTCCCTTAGACAGCAACTTTATCATACAAATCAAACATTAGTTTATTAAATCAAAAATAAATTTTTTTTTTATAAAATAATAAATAAAATTTTTATAATATTATTTATATTAATTATTAAATAATAAAAAAAAACAATGAGATAATACAAAAATATTAAAAATCTTTTTTGATTTTAACACATTTTCTTAAAATTCATCCACAAACGTCTATATTTGCTTCTATTTTCAATGTGTTTTTTTTTTTTTTTTTTACAAAAATGAAAAAAATATTTGAATTCCTATTGGAGGAAATTTAATTCTCAACTCGGGAATCGAAGAGTAGAAAACTTTATAGAAAATGTACCTCTGGTTTAAAATATAATTGACTTCGTTTATAAAAGTGAAGTTTGAAAGAGGATATAAAAAAAAAATTTTTGATTCTCTAAACCATATATTCATGGACTAAATAATTTACATATTTTCACGTCTAATTAAAAAAAAATATAAACAGTGATGAATTTTATATTAATTTTATTACATTTTTTAAACATTTGTTTACTTTTGTAAAAGTTCATTTCTCAAATAGAGCATAATTTGTTTCAATGTTTTGCAGTGTATCTCACTTTACAGTTGCTCTTCAGCAAGTTGATAAAATTATGTGACGTTTTTCTGATGGACAACGTTTTAGCCACAGGATTTTGGACGCATACAGTTTACTTTCTTGCCTTCACTTGTTTCCGAGTAGTAAATCTCCCAGTCAGACAGTCAACTTTTGACTAATTAAACATCCCTTTGGAACAATTTTAGAGAACTTTGGAGATTAATTATATATCTTGAATGGAATAAGAATAGAAATATAGAAATGAGATTCGACATCACAATGGGAATCACTTTTATTCACTGAAATATTATAATTTTTTTTTTGAAAAATTATTTTTTTTTAAATTCTACTAAAATTTAAATATAAATGAGGTTTTACGTAAGACAAGTTGATTTATTATTTAAAACGAATTTGTTTTATTTAAAAAAAGTATCTCATCATTTTAACAAATGATTTAGCAATTTATATTTGGAATTTACTTTTTTCAATTTACATTTTTTTCATTAAGTTTGACACTGTTTTAGCATTTAAACTCTATGAGAAAAATTTTGAAGTAGACATTTTTATTTGACAAGAATTGATATTCCTAATGGTACAATATTGGGTACGTCTTTTTTAACTTTCAAAAACTAATATTAAATTCGTGATCAGCGATCCCAAAAACCCCCGAGTAACAAATGTCAGCTAAATTGAATTGATTTTTCAAAAGGTCGTCCGCCATATTGGATTCGCCATTTTGAATTTAAAAAAACTAACAATAAATTTGTATTCAGTGACCCCAAAAACTCCCGAGTAACAAATGTCAGCTAAATTGAATTGATTTTTCAAAAGGTCGTCCGCCATATTGGATTCGCCATTTTGAATTTTGAAAAATTATCATTGGATTCGTAATCAGCGATCCCGAAAACCCCCGAGTAACAAATGTCAGCTAAATTGAATTGATTTTTCAAAAAGTCGTCCGCCATATTGGATCCGTCATTTTGAATTTTGAAAATTTATCATTGAATTCGTAATCAGCGATCCCGAAAAACCCTGAGTAATAAATTTCAAGCAAATCCATTTGATTTTTAATATTTTTCTTCCGCCATATTGGATCCGCCATTTTAAATTTTGATAAACTGACATTGAATTCGTTATTAGCTACCCCAAAACCCCCCTGTTTAACAAGTTTCAGGTAAATCCAATAAATTCTTAAATCTTTTTCTGACATATTAGTTATTTCGCCATTTTGGATTTTCAAAATATGACTTCAAATTTGTGATCAGTGACACCGAAAATTCCTGATCATGAATCTGACATTAGATTTTTTAAATTCAAAATAACGCTTCCAAAATTTTTGATTGATATTACCTACTAAAAATGGACAGATTTTTATGAAATTTGTTATCCTTATGTTTTATGTGTCTTCGAATACGAATTTCTTCCGCCATTTTGAATTTTTGAATTTTCATATCAGATTTGAATTCTAAGATTCAAAAGATATCAAAATATTAAATTTCATGAAAATCCGCCTATTTTTAGTAATTTTGATCCGCATTTTGAAAATCTGCTCTGCTATATTCGTAATCAGCGACCGCGAAAACCCCCGGGTAACAAGTTTTAGACATATTGAAAGTTTTAATTAATATTTTTAAATTGTACATAATATATAGTCGTCATTAACATTTTGGTCTACTTCTTTTTTGCTGTCATTCACAGTCAACGAATTAAGAAGAAGAAGAAGAAGAATTACCTATACTAATATTATTAATAAACAAAAATAATTATAATTTTTTTTTTTTGCAGAAAGCAGACTTAGCAGTTGGTTCAATGACTATCAACTACGCACGTGAAAGTGTAATTGACTTTACGAAACCTTTCATGAATTTGGGCATTTCAATCCTTTTTAAGGTAGGACATAATATATAAATTTTTCATTAGTTATATAAAACTGCAATTCAAAAAATGAGATCAAAGTTTATTTCATGACTCGTGAGTAGCAATTAACTTTACCCTCAACGTTTCTCTTGCATTTGAACAAGCCAAGTTCCCCTTTAATTCTGGCGCCGGTTTGCAAACTGCCTCGAGCAGACCAGAGGACACATTTTTATTTAACATACACAATACACATCCTACCTTGTCAGGCTGGTCTCTTGGTTTTTTGGTAATTTCCTGAATTAATATCGCACACTCTACTGCTGGCGCCAGTGCTTTTAATTTTTTTGCCTGGTCTCGCTTCGAATTCACCTCAATCTATATATATATATATATATGTATAACTTTTTAAAATTAAAAAAAAAAAATTTTTAATTTTCTAAAATATTTTTCAAGCATTATTTAATATTATAAATTAGAACAATTATTTTAAACTATTTTTTTGTCTTAAATTTGTTTCAACAATTATTTAGGTAAATTGTTTTTTTTTATTTTACATTGCCAAAAACCAACTTAAAATTCATTGTTGTTTTATAAATAAATCGTTTGTTATTCATAACCATTGAGACTAATTTAGGAACATTTTTGTATGAATTTTAACTTAAAAATTTCACCTAGATATATGTAGCGTTTCAGGAAAATGATCGCGCATGATCTAGATCCAGATACTTGTAAGGTTCCTTACGAGAACCACGTTTTTGTATTATAATTCGCGACGCGTGTATTTATATATCAACAATTATCATTATCAGATTATGCAATCCAAATTTAATTTGTTGTTAATTAAATTTGTTAAAATATTAATTAAGTGTTATCAAATAAATTTCATTAAACGATATTAATTTAGTTATTTATTATTTTACATTGAATAACATATCACATGTTGGGAAAATTATTACCCACAGTATGACTGAAACAAATTTAGAAATGATTCCTACAAATAAAAAACAGCTAAACATTAATTCATACGAAGCTTGGAGGATGGGTGTTGCATACGAACGCAATAGTCATGATTACGCTGAGCTTAGGAGATTCTTTAAAATTCCGACTCTTTCATCTAGATTCTTATATAATGATTTATTGTTTTTATATAAACTTATTAACGGCATTATAAACTGTCCTAATTTGTTATCGCTTATTAACTTCTATTTGCCTAATAGAATGCTTAGAAATACTTTTTTATTTAAGTTAGATAGTCACAGATCTGTTTTCGGAGAAAACTCCCCATTGAATAGAATTTGTAAAGAGGCAAACGCACTTGATAAAGATCTAGATTTTTTTATTACACCTTTGAACAAGTTTGTTTAAAGCTAAAAAATGACAGTTGATGATGTCAATTAAATGACCATGTGTAATAAAATATTTCTTCTATTTTTGTTATAAAAAGTTATTATTTTTTGTTCAGTACTTTGTACGAAAGAGCTTTAGGCCCGTTGAAGTGTAAATAAATAATAAAATACAATTTATTTATAAGCACACCTACTGTTCGTTATGAAAAACCAACACTTAAAATGTTATTTTATAAAAGTTTTTTAAAATCATTTAAATGTATTTTTAAAATATTAAGGCCAATTTCGTTTAGAATGTTATTGGGTGCATTGAAATAAAACACATTATTATTAATATAAGGAGAACAATCAATAAGTATGTATTTATTTAAACAATATTAGTTTGGGAGGAGTACAAATTTATTGGTAGCGGCACATCTAGTCAGTACGAGCGCTAACTTAATTCTGCTACAAGTTTTTCTTTTTAAAACAAAGTTTTACAAAATATGGCAACGCTGGTAAAAATTAAAAAATTTGTCAACGTTGGGAAAAGTTTGGAAAAGGCTAAATTACATGAAAAACTCATCGACACATTTTGCCTTAATTGCTTAGTTAGTCCGACAAGACCCAAGGTTGGGTCCGAGCAATAAACATTGAGTCCTAATCCTCTGGAAGGCGTACGTACCGTACCGAGTTCTATAGCCTTATTTAGTTATTTTAATAATAAATTTTTATCTATAGACATTGTGTTACTTTGTGAAATATTATTTTTTCCAAGATTTTGCTTTTATTACCTAAACTTCCTAACAAAGATATGAATTTGACCATATCTTAAAACAAATAATAATAATAAAACAAACAAATAATACTTGAATTTATTTAAACTCTTATTAAATTAAATTTTTATCAATTATTGTTTAAAATTTTATTAAAATGTTACACCAATTGTTACGACGTAACACCTACTCTGGAATGTAACATTAAGTACATTAATTCTAGTTAAACATTAATTTCCTTATTTTATTTTGTAAATAAAATTAAGTGTTAAAATTTCTTAGTAAACAGCAATTATTTAGTTCAATAAACTTGACAAATAGACAGAAAGCTAAGAGAAAGAGAGAGAGATAGGAACAATCCGATTTAATTTGTATTAGAGCTCTTGAATCGCAATTCACTTGCGCACACCTTGTATGTGAATTATGCAAAATTTAATTAATTAAGAGACAAATCAATATAGGAGCTGCATATCTCTCACAATATACTCAATATGTTTGAAAATGTCAAAAATTTAATATTTTTTTTTATTTTCATATTTAATATAATTATTACATAACAATTTATAAAATAAAAAAAGAAACTATTAGACAAAAAAAGAAATTAATATGCAAGTTTTTTCCCTATAATTTTTGAAGAATTTCGATAAATATCATTTTGACTTCATTAATTTTAAAGAGAAAACACTTTGATGATTCTAAATTAGTTGAGATTTATAATTAAATCAGGTCAAGAGATCTCAGTTGCAACATAATCAGATAGACATATTCATGCTAAATAGAAGGCAGTAATTATACTCGAGGCTTTTTATCAAATTCAATACCTTGGCTTGGTGAATCTTAAATGGAATACCGTCTCAGTTAATTAAAATGAAACATTTTCAATTGCTAAAGTCTTTACACAAGAAGCAGTTGCTAATTTTCTCGACGCTTAAAAGACAATCAGAGGTAGCAGATAAAAAAGTAGACGTTAAATGGTATTTACTTTCGAATAACGGATTTATTTGCGCAATTTGAATAAAATAAATGTACAATTTAAAATGTTATAGATTTTAAAAAATAATTTATTAAAAATATTTATTACTCAATGAAATATTAAAACGATTGCAATTGATCTAATAGTTTTTTTGTGATAATTGTACATATAAATTTAAAGCTTCAACTATTTGGATCATTGTCAATGTTTTTATATAATTAATTTGAAAGAGCAAAGAATAATCGTATGTAAGTAAATAAATTGTTATATAATCAAAAGCATATGCTATAGAATTTATAAAATATTTTACAAATTTTATAGCATATACTTTTGAATCAATAATTTTTATACCTTTAGCAGAAATGCTGTTGATTCAATAGCAAATTTTTCTCAGTACATATTAAATAGAAAAAGAAAATTCAAATTATTTAATCAAGTCTCTAACTTATTTAGAATGTAATAATAAAACAAAATAATATTTTATCGAAATCCACTAACAAACCAATAGTGTTTCCTTACATTTATTGAATTTAATTTTAGTTTTTCTTTTCATTTAACATAGTCGGACAAATCGACTTACCAATTCCTCCTCAAATATTGTTTCCAATTTCATAACAAACTTTCTTAATATTTTTATGACAAAAGAAAAGCAAGATTTTAACTAATTTATTAAAAGTGAGTCAAAAATGTGTCCTTCAACCTGGATGTCAGTAACGTGAAGAACGAGCGCCACTCAGCTGCTCGTTCGCTGTGGTTCATTGGATTGATAAATTCTTATTTTATCATTTAAATGTGGGTCTTCAATAAATGACAGTTACTTAATCCCTTTGGAAGATTAAGTAATATTAATGAAAATTATAAGTAGAGTAGGTGATTGAATGTATCACTGCCCCAGTTAAAAATGCAACGTTGTTGAAATTGCATGAAAATAAGGAGAAGTCAGTTGCAAAATCAACTCTCCTTCTACATGAATCGGAAGTGATCATTGTCACCAATCTCATTGTTTAAAGGAGTTTAAGTAGTCGGTCTTTCGGCCAGTAGGGATCGAATGATTAGTATTCGTTCAAGTGTTCAGTATCATTTCCCGCAGAGCGGATGTTGTGTTGATTCCCGCAAAAGGCGGATGATTATATATTATTGAAGTCCCACAAAAAGTGGTTAAAGTTATTGATTATTCCCCGAGTAAGGGTTGATTTGTGATTATTAATAAAAAATACAAGTGTCTTGAAAATATACAAGTTAAATAGAAATTAATTGAGAAATTCATTATAAATAAAATAAATAAGAGAAGACATCCGCATAACTAAGTATCAAGTGACAAACAACGAGTAATACGATACTTTTCTGTTACGATTATAATTCTGGTGAGTCTTTTTAAATAATTGACTTTAATAAAACAGTTTCTTCTTAAATAAAATTAAACATACACAAATACACCAACATCCTACATAACAAACAGAAATTTGTATTTTTGAAGATAGAATCTATCTTGTTGATTATTGAATTTTGTAATAATCCTTTCTTTTCATATATAAAGCAAATATATTGAGAATAAATTGTAATAAATTGAGTGTTAATTTAATTTGACTCCATTTATTTATTTCACTTTGAATTACTTTGTCTCATGTTTCTTTTTAACATTTTCTCTTAAATACCGTCTATCCGGGTTTATTGAATTAATAATTTACTGAGAGGTAGTCCACTACCTTATTCTAAAATTGTTTAGCGAAGAGCATTTACGCTTTCCAAATAAGCGGAATTGTTAATTAATAAAAAATAGAATTCTTTCTATATATTTATTATTTCTCCTCAAGTTATCTATTTTATTTTCTTTTGTTAATTAACTTCCGTCTTTAACAGTTTTAGTTGCTCCAGTAGGCTTAATATTATCCTCAAGTTGCATTTAAGATTCTTCTCATTCCGATTCTGAGAATCTATTGGTATTCTTAAATTGCGCTAGTGTTTGGCTGCATCCAAAGATGTACAAATAACAATTTTCTTTAAATTTCCAAAAAGAAAAACAATAGTAAAATTCCGACTAGAAATACGTACAGTTTGAACAGTTGATAAGGAGTAAAAAAAAACCCTGATTCCCATTGGGTACTGTTAAGCACTATCGAGCATTGTACAAATCGGTCGTCTAGATTTAAAGCGAGAGTCAATATTTGAATTTAAGGCACGAATTTATCAGAGACATAAATAGAGAGACATGAATCAATACTAAATCTGTTGAGAGATAAACGATAAATAATTGAACAAGGATTAAAGTTGTGAGAATCACAACCAATGGTATGCGGGATGATCGTATTTCCCACTGTATATTTAGTGAGATCAAACAGGTGTCGTGTACTATAAGCCGATGAAACAAGATGCAAAATCTGGAAATTAGAATTTCACACCGCATTCGTCATACAGCTTTTTGGTATCTTTGTCATGTCTTATCCTTTATTTTTTCAAAATTTCGATATGCAAAGCCAATCGTGAGTTTATATTGTCACTTCCACTTTAAAACGATTAACCACAAATACCGTCTTTGAAACTGTCAATTAAATTAAATGCGATTGTATTTGAGACCAGTTTTCCTTGAAAATTAACCCATTCAAGACAAACGCAACGATCAAACCTTTGTAGATGATCATTAGTACTGACCAATCCATATTGTGGTCAGAATGAGAATTGCATCCTTTCCCCCAAAATATATACAAGTTAGCCAAGTAAATAGTATTGCTAATTGAACGAGAAAGCATGTTACCAAAGTTGACATTCGATTATCGCTAGTTAAAGCTAGGGTAAAGACCGTTTGACCGCAAACTTACTGTCAATCAATATATACTTAATGAAGTCAAATACTTAATGTAAACTTGAAATTTGCCTCGTTTATACATTAAATTCCACCCCCGACAAATTCAAAGTTAAACTAACTACTTTTCTCAATGAACTGATTCATAAAATTAAACTTCTACTTTTTTATTGCACACTTTTTAAGTCCGTCAAAGAAGTTCAATATTTTTTGAAGAATCTTGAAATGAAACAAATTTTTGTAATTTAAAAAATTCTTTGATGTTGATGTATGTATAAAAATAAAATGAACTGAAATAAAAAGTAATTTTTTCGTTCACAGGTACCAACGAGTCATCCAGCGAGACTTTTTTCTTTCATGAATCCTCTAGCTATCGAAATATGGCTCTACGTTTTGGCTGCATATGTTCTCGTTTCTGTAACGATGTTCGTTGTTGCTCGATTCAGTCCGTACGAATGGAACAATCCACATCCGTGTCATGCGGGTCCGGAAATTGTTGAAAATCAGTTTTCGTTGTCGAATAGTTTCTGGTTCACAATTGGAACACTCATGCAACAGGGAAGCGACCTTAATCCCAAGGTAAGACAATAACATTCTATTGTATATTTACAGAATCGTCGTTAAAATATTTTTAGTTTTTAAAAATAAAAATTATCAAAATTTTTTTTTAATTTGAGTATATTGTTACTTTGTATAGAAGTCATATGTAAAATTTTTTTTAACATATTTTGTGTTATGTGCCAAGGAGACAGGGTAAATTAATTAATGACGTTGGAAGGAGAATAATTTTTTAACCAGGAAATATAAACGCGTCCTTGGAATAGTCACCTGCATCCGTCGCCATCCTCATTTCGCTTTCCGCCATCTAGTCTAGTCATTTCCTGCTTCATATCCTTTTTGGCTACACTAATCTACTGAGCATCCAAATTTCAATATTAAAACGGAAAATGTGAATTTAATACATATATGTAATAGACGTTAGCAGCACTATTAACATTTATATTACGCAAAATGTGATCTCTAAAAACTTTATCTTGTTACTTTTTATATATCAACTTTGGATATCATAAGATACTTATTTAGGTTTTTCCTAATATCCCCATCTAAAATATTCAGCACTAAAAAATTCCTCGACTTTAGATACTGCTAAACCAAAAAAATATTCTAGAATTTAGAGATAAAATGTGATTGTTATTTTGCCATTCTGTTAACTTCAGTTAGTCATAGTTTTAGTGATAAATAACTAAAAATTAGTAGAAATTTTTATTAATTTAAATAAGTTAACGGAGTCTCACTAATTCAAATTTAGAGAGTACAATTACCATAACTAGAAGATTTTCATTGTTATTTAAGAATATGAGTAAAATATTATTATTGTTATTTATTATAACTAAAAACAATGATACACTGATGTAATGATTTTACTGTAAAATGTATAATAAATATAACGATGCCACTGACAGATGTGGTTGAGATAGAATATTGTCCGAACATATAATAATTAACTGAAAACTAATAATATCACGATCATGCATGACATTCGGTGACATCTAACTATACGAGACAGATCGCGCGTGTGTTTACTTACATTACATTAATAAATAAAAATATTAAATTTTAATTACCTCCATATAATTTCTATGTAATAAAGCCAGGTGCTCCGAGGTTCTGTGGTAATGTCTCTGTTCTTGTTCTAATCGACCAACTAAAAACCACACCCTATGGTTGAACTAATCCTAACACTACGGAACTGCCATCAAGCTTTAAACTTCGTAGGTAAAGATCCCTGGAATCTCGCTTTCACGGCTCTTCTATTGCCGATCTTCTTGGCCTATTTATTTCTTCTTGTAAAATCTTCTTTGCTTCCACAAGACCTGATTGGAAGACTTATTCGCCTTATCACCTTACTTCTCTTTACATGAGAAAGGAATTTGTGCTTTTCCTATATGTCCGTAATCAAGGCATCGATGACACCTTTTTGCAACCTTTGTTGCACTTCTTCTTCCTGGGTAAGGCAATTCAGGTCACAGATCTCTAGTGTGATTCTTTGATCCACCGTCTGAAACTTGCTAATGCTTCCAACCGCTTTGGTGACCTCTGCGGTAAATGCCTCCTTGTCGGAGTCTCCTCCAATTTTGTTCAGGAGGTTTTCCTTTCTCTTAAGCCTTGCACCCACGACCCGCGTGTGTCTGACGTCCGGATTCACTTCCCTATGAAGTTTTCTTAATACGTTAGTGTACGTCTTTCCAGTTGCAACTCGGGTCACCATTGTAGATCAACTCGTCGCCTTCTTCCTGACTTTGCTAAAGATTTGGTGCTTCTGTTACCTTCGCAGTCCTTTTTTTAATGCAAGAGGTACCTACTCTTGTTTCTTTTTCTTCGCTCCGGCGTCAATCCTTTCTGAACTGCCAGAGCTTTCCGTTTTTGCGCTTCCATTACTGAGCGCCAAAACCGATTCTTATGGAAACATTCTCTTTTCTTGTTCCGATCCTAACGGTTGGTTTCTGCCACCAAGGCATCTGTCTCCATTATCAGCTAGGACATGTTTCGCCTTCGCGTCACTGACAAGATTCTAAAGAGTCTTTAGTCCGTCCTAAACAGTCATGTTGAAGTTTTTCTGGGCTTAGCAAAAATTTACCATCTTTGCAATCTCTTTTTCGATCCTTTGAAGATATTCAGCCTCCTCCTGCCTAAACTTTACGCATTTCAGGTATTTCTCCTCGATTGCCTCGTTGTCTAGGTCAGATGGAATCAAATTTCATCCACTGTTGATATTTGAAAGGGTCGAAACGCTTCCTCTCCTGCTCCTATCTCTTTCTGTAATTATATGTAAAACCTCAAAATCGTAGAACTTTGAATAGAAACAACATAAAAAATAAATCTTGTTGGCGAGTATAGATTGATGTAAACAGATTACAGGAAAAATAAGCAGAAACGTTAAATAAAATTTTATAACCTTAAAAATTTACGTGGAAGACAGATGTTTCATTAAAAAATCTCTATTACACTGCACAGCAAATTTCAAATTTTTTTCTGCGAATAACATGGGACATAGTGTTTTCGAACGTATTTTTTGTGCTGAACACGAATCCGGGGTCGAAAACTTCTCATCACGTCACGTTTTCGAGAAAATAGGGGTTGAAACCCCTAAAAATAGGGTTTTTGGCCATTTTTGAAAAATTATACAGCGAAAACCTGACGTGGTACAAACTTTGCTGATATCAGAAATTAAAGGTTGGTTCATGCCCTTTCAAACGAGCCCTATTCGAAATTGATCGCACTCACCCTTAGAGCAGGGGGTGTGTTTTTGTCTAGGGGTGAACGAAAAAAATGTAAACATAACATAAAAATTCAAAATGGATAACAATTCAATAAATCATGATAGTTAAGGGGTTTTCGGGGTCGCTGATAACGAATCTGAAGTCAGATTTCAAAAATTCAAAATGGCGGATCCAATATGGCGGATGTCAAAATAAAAATTTGATCCAATTCACTTGAAAATAGTCACTCGGGGGTTTTTGGTGTCGCTGATAACGAATCTGAAGTCAGATTTCAAAAATTCTAAATGATTTATTGAATTTTTATTCATTTTGAATTTTTGTCTAATGTTTACATTTTTTTTGTGCACCCCTAGACAAAAACACACCCCCTGCTCTAAGGGTGAGTGCGATCAATTTCGAATAGGGCTCGTTTAAAAGGGCATGAACCAACCTTTAATTTCTGATATCAACAAAGTTTGTACCACGTCAGGTTTTCGCTGTATAAATTTTCAAAAATGTCCAAAAACTTTGTTTTTAGGGGTTTCAACCCTTATTTTCTCGAAAACGTGACGTGATGGGAAGTTTTCGACCCCGAATTCGTGTTCAGTACAAAAAATCCGTTCGGAAACACTATGCCCCATGTTATTCGCAAAATCGATGCAGGACAGTGTTATCCATTAGTGCGCAAGTTTTTAAGTCGTATTTCTTTAAAAAAGAAACATTTTTCTTAGTAGATTTTGAATCAATTTATTCGAACCTATGACAGAAATTAATTAAACATTTTTTGGTTTTGAATAAATAAGGTTATAATTGTCATACTTTTTCTCTCCTCTTTCAAAACAAATTGAGAATAATTTTTCTGATAACTAAAGGTGCTCTAAGCATGTCCCTGATTACGAATCTGATTTTAGTTTTTTTTAAATTCAAAATGGCGGATGCAATAAGGCGGATGACATATATAAAAATTAATCGTATTGGCTTGAAACACGTTACTCGAGGTTTTTTGGAGTCGCTAATTACGAATCTGATGTTAGTTTTCAGAAATTCAAAATGGCGGATCCAATATGGCGGACGACTTTTCTAAAAATCGATTTAATTCACTCAAAAATTGTTACTCGGTGGTTTTTGGGGTCCCTAATAACAAATCTGCAGTAAAATTTTGAAAATTCAAAATGTCGCATCCAATATCACAGATAAAATAAATAAAAAAATTTTCAATTAACTTTTAATTACTTTTTTGTAATTTTAAAAATTAAAATCTTATTTTTTCTTGCGATCTATGTTAAGAAATTTTAAAAAATTATTTTTTATAGGCAACAAGTACGCGTATTGTAAGTGGAATATGGTGGTTCTTCACGCTGATTATTATTTCATCGTATACAGCAAATCTCGCAGCATTTTTAACTGTTGAGCGAATGATAACTCCAATAGAAAATGCAGAAGATCTGGCAAGTCAAACAGATATTTCTTATGGAACTTTGGATAGTGGAAGTACAATGACTTTCTTTCGGGTAATTATAAATTTTTTTTTTTTTTAATTATCTCTACAGAATACTTTTTTTTCAAAGAAATGTTTTCTAATTAAAAACTAATTGTTGGAATTTGAAAACTTTTTTATTCTAGGATTCAATGATTGAGACTTATAAAAAAATGTGGAGATTTATGGAGAATAAGAAGCCTTCAGTGTTTGTACCAACTTATGAAGAGGGTATTCAAAAAGTTCTTCAAGGACAATATGCTTTTCTCATGGAATCAACAATGTTGGATTATATAGTTCAGAGAGACTGCAATCTCACACAAATTGGAGGACTTCTCGACAGTAAAGGATATGGAATTGCTACGCCAATGGGTAAAAAAAATTCAGGATTTTCATTTCCAAAGTTTATTTTTGCAATGAGTATTTATTAAATATTTTACATTTTCTTTACAAAAAAATTATTATTATTAGGTACTCAATTACTTTTGGATAGAAATTAAAAAAAATTTGTTATTCAATTTAAATTAACTGTAAAAGTTTTAATAATTAAAAAAACATTAATTTTTATTTATATTGGAAATATTTTCACTTTTGTCATTAAATTATTTTTGAAAGTATTTTCATAAGAAAAGAATTTTGTTTGCTGTGAAAGTTGTGAAATGAAATGAAAAAAGTTTTCTAAAAATGTAAATGTAGCCTTCTCTTTTAAAATTTTTTACAGGGTCTCCTTGGCGCGATAAAATATCCTTAGCTATTTTAGAACTACAAGAAAAAGGGGAAACTCAGGCACTTTATGATCATTGGTGGAAAAGTAAAGGCGAAACTTGCATGAGAACTGACAAAGGAAAAGAAAGCAAAGCCAATGCTTTAGGAGTTGATAATATTGGTAAAAATTTTCATCTAAAAAAAATAAATAAATTTAGAAAAAAATTATTAATTCAAAGTAATTAAATAAAATTTCATATTTTAAGCAGAAAATTAAAATTGACTACAAGTTTTAAGTCATAAAACTTATGTATATATATATATATATGATTAAAAAAAATTATTGAAAATAATAAATAAAATTTCATATTTTTCATTCCCTACAAAAAAAGGTGGAGTTTTTGTGGTTCTTCTCTGTGGATTGGCTTTCGCTGTTCTAATAGCAATCTTCGAGTTTTGTTACAATTCCAAAAAGAACGCACCACCAGAACAGGTGAAAAATTTTCTATTTTTAAATATTTATTTGCTTTCACTTAGATGGGGATATTTTTTTTTTTTTTTTAATTTTTCCGAGAAATTTCATTTAATTTTGCTCATTTTTTTCTTAAAATATAATTTGCATGTACTTATAGCATGAACTCATTACACATTGAAGCCTTTATTGGTCATCTGTGTCTCATGACGGACTGAAACAAAAAAAAAAGTGAAAGGTAAGAAAAGATTATTAATTTTCTTTATGGAAAGAATACAGGAAAACTAACATCAAGATTCAAAACACAAGACATGTTGGCTGGCACATATGATAACAACACACACCTACAGGAAACATTACAAAATGTACAAATATATTTTTACATTATTATACAATAACAAAAAATCTTAATGTGAATAAACGATTTATATATAAATAATATTTATTAATAAGTAAATTAACTACAAAAAATAATTTCATTTATTCACATAAAATGTCCGCTCATTAGATATAGTTTCATTTATCATTAAACATTAATAGAGAAGAGATTTTTTTACTTGTGGCCTATTGGCTTATATATTTATTTATTTACATCAAAAGATACAGCTAAAAATTCCTTATACAGAATTCATAAAAGGTCTGAAATTATGTCAGGATAATAATTTTTACAAACAAAATTTTGAAGTCCCTATTAGTCGGAGAGCTAGCGACAGTAAAAATATGACAATTTGATCGTCGTTCATATAATAATATTTTTATTAATTCAGTTACAACATATTATGTGAAAAAAGTATTGCTTACATTTATTTATTGGAACATATAATGTAACCATGTACACAGCCGCATTCGTATCTTTAAAATTTCACGCAGTCTACGTTGATCAATTATTTTTAATTTAAATAATAAAAATGATAATATCGATCACTCCGAGTCAAGATTAAAATGAATAAAAAACTATTCTTTACGTTTCAACGACACAGTCGTCCTCTTCAGAAACTAAAATTTTATTGTAGATATAAGATACAAAAATTAAAAAAAAATGATTTCTAAACAAATTTTAAATAAACTTTAATACCTTAAAGATAATTAACATTTTTTTAAAAAATATACACATTTTTGAACAATATAAACGTTTTGCATCTTCTCGCGCTTTTAAGCGGTATTTGTCGCTGTTTAAAAAAAGTAAGCAACACATTTTTGACTTCTGTTGATGTTCATGAACAAACCCTTAAAAGAACAACGACGATCAAATAAGGTATTTTTTATGTTTTATTTACATGTTGTAAACGTAACTGATAAACACTACACTGCTATAGAACCACGGTTCCCGGGAAGGGTCTTTAGTAAAAAATGTCGGGCTCATCTGATTTTTTTCTTCTAAATGATATTTCGAGATGTCAGGATGTCAGTCCAATAGTTTTTAAAATCGCAAATAAATGCCCCACCCCTTAAAATAGCATAAAACCAAAAAAAAAATGAAAAAATCAGGTTTCTCGTGAAAAAAATACATGATGCTTATATATTGATAAATACTTTCAATTTTTTTCCTGGAAATAGTAATTCGATATGCCAGGAAGTGAGTCCAATAGTTTTTAAAATTGAAAACAAATGCCCAATCCCTTAAAACAATATAAAATCAGAAAAAAATGAAAAAATCAGGTTTTTCGTAGGATAAAAAATACATGGTACTAATATCTTGATAAATACTTCCAATTTTTTTTGTAAATAGTAGTTCGAGATACACAAAAGTCTAATTATATAATTATTAACGTTTTAAACAAATGCCCACCTCTCAAAACAACATAAAATCAGTGAAATTCTGAAAAACTCTGTTTTTATATGAAAAAAAAATAAATATAAAGTAAAATTTATTAATTTTTTTTTCAAATTACATAAATGTTAAGGATAAATACATAGATAATTTACTTTATTAATTAATTTTTTTAAACTTACTTAAATGTGACTCACCTTACTTTATGTGTCGAGCGTTGTATACACATACAGCACGAACCCAAGAAGCACGTAATATAACCTCAATATCAAGGTAATATGACATGTAAAATTCGTAATATAACGTTGTAATATTACAGTAATCTTACAGTGATCTTAAAATGTCCGCCTCAAGGTAATATTACCGGTAATGTTACTGTAATATTACGCGCTAATATTAAGGTAATATTATACCGTAATATTAAGGTAATATTACAAGAGAATATTACAGTAATATTATGGGAACATTTCTTTACGAAAAAAATCTACCCATCCAGGGAATCGAACCCCGAACTCAAAGCACACGAGTCCAGAGTTTTACCAACAAGCCATATTGACTTATAATATATTTACGTTTTTTATGCTTTATGAATAACTCAAATCAGTCTGTAATATTACTGTAATATTACCGTTAATATTACAGTAATATTCCCGGTAATATTACCTTGAGGCGGACATTTTAAGATCACTGTAAGATTACTGTAATATTACAGCGTTATATTACGAATCTGACGTGTAATATTACCTTGATATTGAGGATATATTACGTGCTTCTTGGGAAGAAGTTTAACTGCATAATCTTCGTGATTTTTAGACATGTGTTTCTACACAATCAAGCCTAATAATTTTACTGTTTTAATTGTGTGGCTTCTAGAAATAAATAAAGTTTACAACAATTCACTAACTATTCACATTTATTTATTCTAAGATTGTTATTCACTTTATTATAATGTATGATTAAAAAAAAGAACATTCAAATAATTTACAAATTATCACTCCACATGATTTTATTTATATTTAACATAATTTAATAATGTATCGTCGTCTATATAGTCTCTATTATTCGCTCTCGTGTCGAGTACTAACGATGTTCGTTCTTTTCATATATAAATTTCTTAATTCAAATCTTCGCGTTTAATCGCACGTCAACGACAATTTTCGGTTGTCATGTTAGTCATTCTTAACAAGACATCTTGTAAAAATTCCAGATTTTAGCAAAATCATGATGGGAGGATTCAACGGCCTGCTCTGAGAAAAATCCCAATCCCGTTTGGTATCGTTTATTTTTTTTCATATAAAAACAGAGTTTTTCAGAATTTCACTGAAACAAAATCTTCTTTTAAGCTTATAAGTTGTCTTTTTTCAAGATGTAAACGGAAGTAGATGATATTGACTGAAAATCAGTACTCAAAAAATGTTTAAAAAGAATACCCTTATCTTACTATAAGTAAGATGTCATACGAGCTGAAACTTAGCTCTAAGCTTGTTGAAGAACTGAAATTCAGTTAGGTTTTAGACTATCATTTAGTCTTATGTTAAAAGAGGGTGAGATTAAGCTTCCTTACAGATTGTCTTTCAGCGTTAACCTGGTGTGATAATAATCCTAAATTATGACTTAAAAGCATATTAGAATTTCGATATATATATATATATATATATATATATGTATATTATATATATATTATATTATATATATATATATTACTTATAACAATTTTTTCTAATTTAAATTTCCATTATTTAAATGAAAATGACGAGGAACTTTTATATTTAAAAAAATCTTGTCATTTTCATTTTCAATTCTGCAAACTAAATTTAAAAAATAACATTATACGTAATATATATATATATCGAAATTATTATGATAGAATGTAAATTAATTTTTTAAAAACTGAAATAATATATTTTAAAATTTTTATTGAGAAAAATATAGACATTGATTTACTTATTCTATAAAAACCATTATTAAAACTAGCAGTCAAATTTCTCTTCTGGAGGTACAAAATAAAATACTGACGAAGATTAATTTATAATAAACATTTCTTTAAAAGAGCATTATGCAACGTTTGAGAGACATATCACTTCTCTATTCTTAGGAAGTACAATACTGTTTTACATAACTTGTAAAATATATCTATATAGGATATTATATATTTCATTAAACACAACAGTATATATCAAAATATATCAAAATAGAATTTTAATGTTAAAGTTAGGAATTAACAGTTTAGAATAATTTAAGCTCTTCCAAAAAGTTCCACACAGTTTTGTACTTTTGGTAATATTTAGCGACTTTTTTTCTAAATAGTATAGCTGAGACAAAGGTGAAAGATATGCGTGCTTTGCTGGAATATTCGATATTAAAAACCCAGTACAATGCAAATAAATGAATAAGTGCTTCAATTGCTGTTCCGTTAAACATTGGAATTCCGTCGACATAAGTTGAAAATTTGAGATTCAGTAAATCATTGCTGCCGATTGCTATCATCCTTGGAGGTTCATCAACTTTAGGTTCTGTGGACGAGACTGGTGTATTCGCCTAAAATGCAGAAAATTATTTTTTCTTAATAATTAATTACACATAACCAGTTAGAAAAAAGAAAAGTTGAAAAAATTGATGTGAAACCTATATCATTCAAATTTTTATTAAGTAAATAACAAATGTAGGTGAAAAGCAGCTGTTAAAAAATATATTACTTAAAAAAAATCATTTTATGTCATTTCTCACAATCAGAACCTATAATATTTTATATAATTTGTTAAATATTTTTGAATCTTAATATTCCTAAATATTATGTGATCGATTAATTAGATAAAAACATTTTTTCTAAGAAATTATCAAATTTCTAGAAATTGAACATCTTCTATATCGGTAAAAGGTCTCGTAAAATATTATCATCAAAAATATTTTTTGTTTGGGGAATCGTAAAATTTTCGAGAATTTTCAGGTTAGGATAACACGTGTTGATATTTTACTTTTAAATTAAGGTTATGAATAGTATATCAACTTATTTACAACTATATAAAAAATCAATAAATTAATGGGACTACACAATTTCTGTTACGTATCGAAAAGTAAGAGTGAAAATAATTATAATTTCAATGTGCAAGTAAAGTCGGAGAATTAATCTCTTATTAAAGAAAAAGTACTTACTGTAAAAAGAATACTTATGTCTTCTTCTCTGGTAGAGTTAATTAAATATTAATCACTTCTTCTTCTTCTTGTGAATTATAAATGAATAAAACCAAAATTAAAACACGAGAAAATCATTTCTCAACCACGCTTCACTGTACGCGTACGCTATGGCGTTTTCACAACAGACGTTTTGCCTGTGACGTCACAACTACCACTTTAAGACTCGGCGGACTGACACCCAGCTCAAGTAAAGACTTTTAAAAAGTCACTGTCGTCTTTTTTTTACTTAAGACCAGTGAATTAAAAATCAGTCGAATTATAAGCTTATTTATAGTAAGAGAACCACTAACTCTTATTTTAAGCTAATTTTCATTATTAAATAAAGTTTCTTGCTTAAAATAAGTTAAAAATTAAAGTAAGCTTACATTCGGTTTCAGATTTTGTTTTTACTGTGTGATTTTATGTTGTTTTGAGAGGTGGGCATTTGTTTAAGACGTTAATAATTATATAATTAGACTTTTGTGTATCGCGAACTACTATTTACAAAAAAAATTGGAAGTATTTATCAAGATATAAGTATCATGTATTTTTTTTCACGAAAAACCTGATTTTTTCATTTTTTTCTGGTTTTATGCTGTTTTAAGGGGTGGGGCATTTGTTTTCGATTTTAAAAACTATTGGACTGACTTCCTGTCATCTCGAACTACCATTTACAAGAAAAAAATCAGATGAGCCCGTCATTTTTTTACTAAAGACCCTTCCCGGGAACCGTGAACTGTAAAAGCACTCCTTTTTGGTATCATACGCATGACAATTAACGACTACGATTTATTTTCATTCACTATCATATAAGACACTAAAAACTGTCGCTAGCTCCCAGACTATATGGAAAGTCCCATTTCTTCTGTAGTTTTCGAGTTACTTTTCGTATATTCACCAATTCCTTGTATTACGAAAAACTTTTTCTACTTTATATTGTTATTGTACAATTTTATATAAAAAAAATCTTTTTTTTTAACTTTTATTTTTACACGTGATTCTTACTGTTCTTTATGATTCATTTTAAGTTGAAACTGTAAGAAGTTGTGATAAACTTTTTTTTTGAGGTTATGTCAACACTTTATATTTCCATGTTCATTTCTTCGGTTTTTTCTATTATTATTTTCTTTTAAAGAATATAAGTATTATTAACTGAGTATATAGTAAATAATAATAATAATTTGTTGATAAATATAATTCTGTTGATATATATATACGCGTAGTAACAGAGAGATTAATAAATTTAAAAAATTTTATTGTCACAGCAACATTTACCAGCACCACCTCCTACGTGCTCGGGTTCCTTACAAGGTCTACCTCAAAATGTGCAACAGCAACCGCAAAGTCACCATCAACAAGAATCACTTTGTGCAGAAATGGCACGTGAATTATGTCGCGCTCTGCGTTGTCGTGCACCCTCTCGCAGAAGAAGAGCCTGCGAGAAATGTTCAACTCACGTCATAAGTTATCATCGCTCAGACAATCCTACACCGACTCCCATAAATGGGATTAGAACACAGGTATAAGTTTTTATAAAAAAAAAAGTTTTTCAATTTTTACAGTTTAAATATAAAGATACAAAAATTTTTGTTTGTTATAGATTTTTATATAATATTATTATAGGTAATTATCCTCTAGTTACAGATTTTTTATAATTTACAACTAACCAATGACAGACAATGATTTTTGATTGTAATTTAGAGTTCTTAAATAAAACTACAAAATATTTTTTGTAAAATGAAATCTTTTCCACGATAATTTAGAGTCTAAACGGCCCCAATAACGAATCTGCTTTACCGACTGCTAATAATATAGAAATCTATCTTACTACCCGCTTAAGTAGATTTCACTTTTCCTTACCGACTGACAATAAAATAAAAAATTTATCTTACCATCAGTTGGCTCAGTAGAGCTTTCGTTTTTCTCTTTTACCGACTGCTGATAATCTAGGAATTTATTTTGCCATCATCCAGCATAGTAGAAATTTTTATTTCTAAATTATTTTAATTTTTGCGCAAAATTACTTATTTTAGATAGAACAGCGGAGTTCTTTGGTCCCTTTTCCTATTATCTCATACCTACAAGTTAAAGAAATATTAATTTTGTTAAGAGAAAATTCAAAAGTTGCAAATCACGTGGTTTTTTATCAAATGACCTTAAACAAAATTTTTTTTTCCCAGACAACCGACTTGGGAGTTCCGGTAGAAATGTCACCACATATACATATGCATCATCATCATCATCATCATCCATCTCAAGACTACGATGGAAATTAGTATCAAGAAAATTTTTTTGTTTTAATAAAAAAAAAATGCGCTACGTAATATAAATTATTTCTGAAGAAAAAGATGAAAATTCTAGCACAGTTCTATAAAAAAAATGCCTGAAAGTAAATTTATCTGAAATATTTATAATTTTAAAGAGCACATTTAGTCAGGTATAGTCAACAAGTCATTTAATAATTTAAAGTATATAAATATATGTATAGTTAATTCCGATTTCGATCCGTCCTTTTTAAGAGAGAAAAAGAAAAAAAACCATTTGTGGAACAATTGAGTTACATATTATACGTAATAAAAGGGCTTTCAAATTTCACATCTGTAAATGAGCTGATACTCATTAACAAAACCACATATATTATTTGCAATTTGTTTTACAATTAATTAAAAAAAAATGACACAATCATATAGAATTCTAAATTTGATAATTTCATACTTTACATAATTAGAAGACTTTAAAAAATTAAATGAACCAATAAAATTCAAATTAAAGAAAAAATTTCAATTTTTTTAATTTCAAATGTAAATGTAAAAACTTTTTATATATTTTAATGAAATATCATGCCCTTAGCAAAATATGTTTGAAAAAAAAATTTGCTTAAAAATTGTATTTATTTGTAGTTCAAATTAAATTACGCTCAATAATAATATATATTAATTTTTTAAAAAATGTCATTTTAATTTTAACTCGCACTAAACAATAAGCGTTGTAAATATCTTTAGAATATAAGGAAAGCGTAGGAAATATATTGATGCAATTCTGATACTAATGCTTTAAAAAAAAGGATAAATTAAAAAGGCATTCAAAATTTTCATCTTTGAAAAATTTAATCTCTTAATTATTTGAAATTTAAATTGTTTTCACAGATTCAAAAAATTCATATCAATTGCATCCTGTCCTCGCAAGTTTCTTTTTAATAAAACAAATTTAAAATCACAAATATAATATGATAATCTTAATTATTGTTCTTCGATAATAAAAAAAAAATGCCTGTAAGTAATTATTAAAAAGTACGAATTTTGATGTTTGACGTTATATTTTATGTATGTATCTTGTGAAAATTATAATTCTGAATAAATGTGAAAACCTTAACAGAAATGTGTCTTCATGTAAAGGGGTATAAAACTATAGTATAAAATTACCTACTGTTGGTAATGTGGGAATCTACCTTATCATCAGTAGGTTACAGGAGAATGCTGCGTGCGCAATGTCGTTTGTACGTCAATTAGCAGAAATTGCAATTGTTTATACTCGGAAATTATTAAAATTGAATAAGTTAAGGGCAGTCACAACCTTCATTTTATATCCTTTACATTTTAATCATCGTATAGGAAAATATATTTTTTTCTCGCATGGATTTTCAAAAAAAGTTAATTTTTTCAAAAAATAAAAATTCTAAATTGGTCAAAAATTAAAATTATCTTTTTTTTACCACCTTATATGTTTTTAGGACCCAAATGATGCAAGAAAAAAAATATAACCTCGTTTAATAATTTAAATTTAAGTGGGTAAAAATAAAGATTGTGACTCCCCTTTAACTGACCGCTGCTCTTGGATTCCTTTCGAACATTAATGAAAACACAGGTAAGATCATTTTAGCGTTTAAGTAATTGAATATTAGATTGTCGGCCAAAATTTATTCAATTATTATTTAATATTTTTTTTTTAGTTGTAAAATTATAAAAAATTGTTCTAATGAAGATTTATTCCTCTCATTTTCTTTGATATTTAAAAAAAAAGGGTAGAACTAAATCCGATTAATAGAATGGAAGTTATAGCAGTTTAAAATTTTTTATTATTGTAAATCTCGTAAACTAAAAAATATTTTAAGATAAAATTTACGTTAAAGATTAGTCAAACTATATGTAACAAAATTTCATGTTTTATGCAAATATCACCTTGAAAATATAATTGATTTCGTCGTTTCCTGGCAAAACACTCAAGATTATTATGATTTTTGGAAGGCTTCTTTATATTTTTGAACCGTTGCTTGAAATTTCTGTTACTGGGGGTTAACCAATGCCCATGTAAAATTTAATATTCCCGGTTTTCTGTAAATTTGAAGATTTTTACTTGAGTGTCATCATCTTTGGAAATTTCAATATTAATTCCGAATTCATTAATATTAATATTGGAGAAGAATTATAAGGATTTACTATCTTGCGTTGGATTAACGTATTAAAATCGTTAATCAAGAAGAAGTAATATTATTTTATTCAAGGAAAGAAAATTAATTTTAGGAAGATCTTTTTTTATCAAATTTGAATTTTCGCACTTTTTTAATTTGGACCAATCGGCATCAATATTCATGAGAAAACCTTTTTACCGATCGTCGAATTCATTTTTTTGTCGTGATTTATTACTGTTCTTTTTGATATTTATTTTTTTTTTTTTTGGTTGGTAACAAAATCTCCTAGGAAAAAAACAAACAACATGTTTTTGATCATTCTTTAATAAGGCGCTCTCACACCTATTTGGATGCCTGCAGGTTACCATGACAATGCATGAGAGCGAGTGCGAAAGAAAATTTAAAAATTTGAATATTGAAATTTTCTGTCTCACTTACACTCGTGCGTTGCCATGGTAACGTGCAGGCAGGCAGCCAAAAAGAAATGAGTGCGCCAATATGATCTCGTATAAAATAGACGTTTTTTGTTAATAAAAAAAGGAAATTAATTTAATAAAAAAAAAAAATTGTTTGGCAATCTCTATTGGAAATTCGTTGCCAACGGCCATTTTGATTCTATTAATTTTAGAATTCTCTGGCAATATTTTATATTACATTTATTATTATATATTATTTCCAAATTGTTCTTTGATTGATCGTTGAAATAAAAATTTCTAAAAACGTGACTTTTTACTATTTGTACGTTGATAAAAAATAATAAAAATTTAATTTCAAATAATGGAACAAATTCGTAATTCGTAATCCCTATAAAATTCTGCGTTCAGACATGTTGTATAAGTGCCCAAAATATTAGTCCCAATGTCTGGGATGGGCCCAACATTTTTTGACAATCAAATAGATTTAAAAAAATCTCATCTTTGGGGGTTTTTGGGGTCACAAGATTAGAAATTCGAAGCTAATTTTCAAATTGGGCACAGAGCCCAATGTAAGATTTCACAGCCCAATGTGAGGCCCACAGTAATGAAATTATTTTTCTTAAATAAAACCCACTAATTTCTAGTATCCATTTCGTAATCGTTATGAAATTCTGGGTTAAGACTTGTAGTACAAATGCCAAAAATATTGGGCCAAATGTCTGGAATTGGGCCCAATAATTTTAGAATTTGTACCACAAGTCTAAGCCCAGAATTTCATAACGGTTACGAAATGGATGGAAACTAATTTTTTTACTGTAGGTCTCACATTAGGCCCCCAAAGATAAGATTTTTTAAAATTTATTTATTTGTTTGTCAAAAAATGTTGGGCCCAATCCCAGACATTGTGACCAATATTTTTGGCACTTATACAACATGACTGAACGCAGAATTTCATAGGGATTACGAATTTGATACTGAAAATTAGTGGTCTCATTTAAGAAAATCACTTCTTTCATTGTACGGCCCAACATTGGGCTCAGGGCCCAATTTTTTGGTTTCTAAGATATACATCTTTTTGTTTGGAACAACTTTTGTCTTGAACATTAATTACGAAAATTCGTAATTTTCGAGATATTTGCAAGTTTCCATACTATATAATGGACGTGAAAACTACGATGCGCGCGTCCCATCGTGCCGCGCGGGACATTTTAATTTTTTTCTCGCAAAGTTCTTGCTGTCCCATTATAAAAATTAGAGAAGTTATTCTTAACATCATAGGCAATACGTAGAAAAAAATTTTTTGAAATCGAAGAGGTAGTTTTTTCAACAACTGAATTCAAAATTTTCTTTTTGCATTTTTTCCGGGCAACAAAATTTTTTCATTTTAATGCACTATTTCATTCTTAAAATAGCATCTTCTTGTGAGAAATTTGAAAAAAAATTGATCTCATTTGGGTAAAAAGAAAAAAAGTTACATGTTTTTTTTTAATAATGACATAAATATTAAATTAGAGATATCTCAAAAAAATTTTGAAAAATCGTTTGTGGGCTTTCATTCTGTACAAATAAAGGAACATATTCACAAGGTTTCAATAAAATTGCTCTAATCATCAAAACATCTTGTAATCACATCCCATGAAATTGCTCTATAAAGAAAAATTTGTTTCCGCCAAAATAAAAATTTTTATAAACGAAAGGACTACCAAGCTTCCTCCACGAGGAAGCCAAATCACAAAACATTCAATTTTTCTTAGGCAGACGATTTCATTACAAATTCTTGCTCAAAATACACGCAAAAGTGTAGAAAAAAATTGACAGTCCAATACAAGTAGAGGAAAACCCCAATTACGAACCTAAAACCAACCTCTATCATAAAAAAATCCAAAAAAATTCAATTTTTCTTAGGCAGACTATTTTATTGCAATTTTTTGCACAAAATACACCTAAAAGTGTAGAAAAAAATTGACAGCCCGATCCGACTAGAGGAACACCAATTTTATGACCATTAACGCGATTTTCGTAAAAAAAAAATTTTCAAAAAAATTCAATTTTTCTTAGGCAGTCTATTTTATTGCAATTTCTTGCACAAAATACACGTAAAAGTGTAGAAAAAAATTGACAGTCCGATCTGAGTAGAGGAAGACCCCTATTACCAATAAAAAGCCATCCAAAATCATAAAAAAGTTCCCAAAAAAATTCAATTTTTCTTAGGCAGACTATTTTATTGCAATTTCTTGCACAAAATACACCTAAAAGTGTAGAAAAAAATTGACAGCCCGATGCGAGAAGAGGAACACCAATTTTATGACCATTAAAGCGATTATCGTAAAAAAAAAATTTTTTTTTAAATTCAATTTTTCTTGGGCAGACTATTTTATTGCAATTTCTTGCACAAAATACACGTAAAAGTGTAGAAAAAAATTGACAGCCTGATCCGAGTAGAGGAAGACCCCTATTACCAATAAAAAGACATCCAAAATCATAAAAAAGTTCCCAAAAAAATTCAATTTTTCTTAGGCAGACTATTTTATTGCAATTTCTTGCACAAAATACACCTAAAAGTGTAGAAAAAAATTGACAGCCCGATCCGAGTAGAGGAACACCAATTTTATGACCATTAACGCGATTTTCGTAAAAAAAATTTTTTAAAAAAATTCAATTTTTCTTAGGCAGACTATTTTATTGCAATTTCTTGCAGAAAATACACCTAAAAGTGTAGAAAAAAATTGACAGTCCGAACCGAGTAGAGGAAGACCCCTATTACCAATAAAAAGCCATCCAAAATCATAAAAAAGTTCCCAAAAAAATTAAATTTTTCTTAGGCAGACTATTTTATTGCAATTTCTTGCACAAAATACACCTAAAAGTGTAGAAAAAAATTGACAGCCCGATCCGAGTAGAGGAACACCAATTTTATGACCATTAAAGCGATTTTCGTAAAAAAAAAATTTTCGAAAAAATTCAATTTTTCTTGGGCAGACTATTTTATTGCAATTTCTTGCACAAAATACACGTAAAAGTGTAGAAAAAAATAGGAAAAGAACTAGGCGCAATTGCGCCTACATCTAGGGTTTCGTGGCGCTTTAAATTTTAATTAAAAAAAAAAAATCAAAAATAAATAATTTAAAAATAAATAATAAAATTTATTTCATAAATTTACCTAAAACATTAGGTAAAATGTCCATTCGATAATGTCCACTATTAAGACATGTCAACTCTTGGACATGTCAACTATAGAGACATGTCAACTATAGGGACATGTCAACTACTGGGACATGTCAACTATAGGGACATGTCAACTATATGGACATGTCAACTATTGGGACATGTCAATTACTGAGACAGGTCAACTACTGGGACATGTCAATTGTAGGGGCATGTTAACTAATGGGACATGTAATGTCCATTCGGGAAAATGTCCATTCGGGAAAATGTCCATTCAGTAAATGGAGATTTGGGATCTGTGGGGCCCCAAAATTTGAATTTGGGAGCTATGGTGCCCCAAAATTTGAATTTGGGATCTGTGGGGCCCCAAAATTTGAATTTGGGAGCTATGGTGCCCCAAAATTTGAATTTGGGATCTGTGGGGCCCCAAAATTTTAATTTGGGATCTGTGGTGCCCCAAAATTTTAATTTGGGATCTGTGCCCTAAAATTTGATTTTGGGAGCTGTGGTGCCCCAAAATATACTACGGACAGACGGTCGCCAAAATGAAACTATAAGGCTTTTGGCCATGGGCCACGAAACCCTAAAAACCTCGTTGGCCAAATTAAGTTTTTTAATAATGTAATATATAAGTTTTATTACATTTATTTAATTTTAATAACTGTATAATTAACTTATAAAACAATTATGATATCTTTCGCGTTATACAAATAATTTATGTTCACAAAAAGGCAAAAATAATGAAATTAATGGTGCCCGGAAAGCGCCTAATCAAAATCCTCTGTTTCGGCCCTGGCGCACGAACGAAAGAGGCAGCGAGACGGGAAAATCGAGCGATTGACGGTCGAATTTTTTTTCGTGCACGCTCGTCCTTTTTTTTCAATTACTGGCAAACCCGTCAACATTTTTTATTGTTCTTGGAATCAATGGAAAGCTTAGATTTCAAAGAATAATTGTGTTAAAGGACAATTTTTTTCGTTGATTTTCCTGGACCATGCAAGAGGTTAAAGTCAAGGTAGGAAATAAGCAAAAAATTACAATTATTTTTTCAACTTTGTAACATGATATATTTAAACCTATTTAAGCAATCTCATTCAAATAGGTATCATTTTTTTCGAAATTTAATAAGCTTTCCAACGCTATAAGGGAAAAGTCTCTACGTTAATTTCTCTCAGAGTTATCTTTATTTTCACGCGAGTATGTTTTTCAATGACTCGCGGTGTAAGCGTTCGCACAATTTCGGACGGTAGTGTAATTAAATTATTGATAGTCATTTGAACCATAAAAATAATTAAAAATTTTCAAGTGTTGTGATTGTGAACTTACTTTGAATCTGCTACTGTAACGAACATAAATAAAGGTTAGTGTATTTTTATTTATCTCCAAACAATTTTTTTCTTATTCAACTGCTCACTATAAATAATTTTCGCATCTCTCTTTCTTAAAATTCATAATAAAATTAATTTTAGTACTTCAAAATTCAGTGTAGTGAAGAAATTGATTAATAAAATTGTCAATAAGAGCATTATAATTATACTTACAGTAGGACTCCGGTTATCCGAGCTAATGTGGACCGAACCTACCTCGGATAAGGCGAAAACTCGGATAATCCGAATTGTTACTACAATTTAACATTATTATTGTTTAAACAATTATTATTTATTACAAACGAGAAAATAATATTGTATATATTTCATAATAATTTAAACAATTTGAATTTATTAAAAATAAACTAATATTTATAAAAAAGTAAAATTAAAAATAACTCGGATGAAGTAGACTATAGTAATTCATACACTTACCCTAGTGGAATATTTTTTTTTCATGTAACTAATATCAAGTTTATCTAATATACATGCGCCCCATAGGAATTTCTTGCTAAAAGGGGGTACTTGAAATGAGGAAAGGGAAGAGGTTAAGGGCTCATAAAAAAAAGAAACTTGCTGAGGGAGTATATGATTATTGCTTCATTTACATTTGAAAATGCGCCTTCTTTTTCTTTTTATTACAACATTTTACTTCCCTTTATATCCTATAATATACCACTGTCTACCATGTCAACTTTTAACACTTCGTTTTAATATTATATTTATTATACATATTATATGAGGCAAAATTTCTAAAATTATTCAATTCAAAAACAAATTTTCTTCTACACTGGAACCTCCAACAATATTGCAGCGCGCGAGTCTTATGTGCAATGGATGGAGGTTACCCTTGACGTCAAAGTTTTGTCAAAAAGTGGAAACACTCAGGGCCGTACATATTATATACTTATGTATGGGATATATGTTCGAATAAAAATTGAGATTAATTTAATTCTTTATAAAGTAGAAAAATATAAATATAATTACGTATACATTTAAATTATAATAATGCAGTTTATAATATCGATAACTCCGATCGATTGTTTAAATTAGAAAAAAGGAAAAAGAAACTGGGTCTAAAAGAACACGTAACTGTGACGTTACTGTTTTTTCTTGACTGACGCCATTTTTTCCCCTCTGACTCTTCTTGCCGCTGCCCACCAAGTTTTGGTAAACAACTGCAATGGTCAGAGATGCAATGGTTGGAGGTTCCAGTGTATTAGAACGGGTTGCAATTTGAACTTCATCCATAAATTATTATTGATTGTTATCAAAAAATTTATATTTTTAATAAAAAAAATTAAACAAAATGCCGTTTTTTTAATAAGATTAATTAATTAATATCTCAAAAACAAAAAAATGGCATTTTGTTTAATTTTTTTTATTAAAAGTAGATAGGTATATATTTTGAGAATCAATTTAAGGGGTAAAAAAAAAAGAAAAAAAATGTCCTTTTTTTAAAAAAAAAATTTTTGATTTCCAAAAAAAGTGGTACTGGAATTTTTTAAAAAAATTGTTGCACTACTCGGAGGAGTAGAAAAAAACCATCTAAAAAATTCAATGTTCATATTTTTGCTATTGGATCACTTGAGAAATTTTGCCTCATATTTAAATGGTCAATTCCACGTGAAATTTATGTAAATAACCTCTTAAATTTGGATAAACATATTTTTTTTCGTTCTTTACAGAAAAAATAGTAAACGTATTTTTTATTATTATTATTATTATTATTATTATTATTTTTAATGACACTTAACTTTAAAAGTATTGAATTTTTGTCACGAGAAAAAAAATTTTCAGTTTTTCGAAGTATGTTGAAGAAAAATTGTTTTTTTTACATTTATATATAAAAAATAACCAGTTTTTATAAATAAATTAATTTTTTTTAACTTTGGACCCGGCTTGTTTTTATTTTTTTACATACCTCGAAGTACTAAGAAGACTTTACAAAAAGTTTCAGAGAGTGGGCCTCTGACGATACTTTTTGTTTAAATAATTTGATTAAACAACATTTTTTCATTTTTCAAAATACAAATTAGTCCAATACTAAAAATTTATACAAAACCTTCTTAATACTTCCAGGTATGTAAAAATAAAAGAATGAAAAAAAGTCGGGTCCAAAATTAAACCAAAAAAAATAATTAGTTCATAAAAAATTGTTATGTTTTCTACAAAAATTGAACATTTTTTTTTCTTTTTTTGTTAACATATTTCGAAGAAACTAAAAATTTTTTCCTCTCCGCAAAAATTTCTAAATTCCTATAAACACCATTTTTTTCTCTAAAGAACGAAATATATATATAAAAATAAATTTATAAGGTCATGGAAGAATTTCACTTGTAATTAAAAAATAATTAAAAATATTACTACTATTATTTTAAGATAAAATTGAATCTAATCAATCCCATATTTTGCATATTGGTTCTTTGTCACATTTAAATGCATCAATAAATCCTTTTACGTTTGGCATGAGTCCATTTATTCTCAAATTCGAGTTTGGATGAACACCAGTATTTTCTTGTGCGAAAAATTCTGGTGTTCCGCTCTCACAAAATACCTAATAAATAAAATTAAATATTAGTAATTGCGTATATCATCATAAACATTCTGAAACCATAAACAAGACTTACAAAAGCCGTAGAAACAAAATACAATTGATCTGAATCCAAGTTTTCTAATCCTGGTAAACGTTTATCTTTAATATTTTCTTTCTTCATTTTTTCCTTGTAAGCTCCATAACCTGCAATCAACCCTCCGGTATCAGCAATAGTTTCACCTTGAGTTAGTTCTCCGTCTACCTAATTTACATAAAAAATTTTATTTTTCAATTATATCTCATTCAAAGTGTTATTTGAATAATATTCAATTAAGTTTCATTTACTTTATAATTATTATAATGATCCACAAAACATTTGGCCCTCTTCTCATATTCACCAATCATTTCGTTTGACCACCAAGAAATGTCATTTCCATTTTTATCAAATTTTCGTCCTAATGTTAAAAATAATATACACATTTAAAATAAATAATAATAATAAATATTTTTGACAATTTAGAAATTTTATTTTTTTAAATAATGAAAAAATTTTTCTAATCTATACGATTGATTGTTCAAAATTATAAAAAAAGTGTAAAAACAAATTGGCTATAAAAAATAGTAAAAATTGTTAAAGAAGTTCAATTTTAAAGGAATTAAGAATGCAATTAATCAAAATTTGCATATAAATGTAAAGTTACCAGAAATCTTCTTTAACTTACTGTCTATTGCATACCGAGCAGCTTTTTTTTTAAAAAAAAGTTTTTTTTGTAGATTGTTTATGAAAAAAATTGATTTTTTTTCAAAATAGTCCCAAATTTTTAAATAAGTTTTTTTTTTTTTAAATTTTCTCTTCGTCATGCAAAGTGTATTTGTGTACTTAAACGATAAAGATTTGATTTTTTGATTATGGTTAATATTTGAGACCAGTAGCCAATCTCCATTTTGCAATATTTTTAATTTAAAAAATTATTATACATAGCTTATATTGTACACTTCAAGGTATGCTTTATTTCAATTCAATAAACTTTACCACTTTTTTTATAAAATATCTTGAAAAAACGTGCATTTATATGAGTTTCCCCTCTTAAATCATTAAGCAACCGAGTATAGATAATTTTTTCTATAATGGTCTTAATTATACTATATAAGATTTAAAAATATACGTGTATCAAATTACCTCGGACATCAAATCCATGAGTCATTTCGTGACCCATTATATAACCTATATATCCGTAATTTATCGCACTGTTGAAATAAAGAGGAAAGTTTTTTTTTAAATACGGTTAATTAAGAATTTTTTAAATACAAATATATGAGAAAATTCGTTAAAATAATAAGTACAAGTTATTAAAAGCGTGTTTTTTTATAATAAATTGAAACTTTTTACTTTCTAAATTTGAATCAGTGAAATTTCACTAACAAAGTAGTTAAAATTTACCAACTGAATTATTTCAGTAAATTTTCACTGAAATTTAGTCACATTTAACTGAAAACCAGTAATAAAGAATTATTACTGAATTAAACAGTCAAATGTACATTATTGTTAATCGGTAAAATAGATTTAACTGTTTTAATCAGTAAAGAATTCTACTAATTTTCAGTGAAATATTACTGAATTTTAGTGGAAATTTTACTAATGTTATTCAGTTGATGAATTCCTACTATTTCATATTAGTGAAATTTCACTGATTCAAATTTAGAGAGTACAGTTCTTTCTATAAAATGGTGAAGTATTAATACTTTAGTAATTGAAAATATAGAAATACTTACTGAGGTAAATTCGAATTATACGTGGGAAGTAAAAATAGTGCAGCTGCAACATCTATTCAACAAATTAACATTAATATTAAAGAAAATTACTTATATCTTTAACTATATTGCAAAATTTTTTTTAATTATATACTCTAAAATTATTATTTTCGGATAAATTTGCCAATTACTAGTGTTGTTTATAGATATTGTGACGAAGTGGTCGTCAAACATCCCCTGTTTAAAATGACGCGCTTGATTGTCGGGCCCAGGAGGTGGCGCCGCCAAACGGAAGAAGGTGTAGCTAGCCGCCGGGACGCCGAAATCAGATGTTCGCGTCGAGAGTATTACGATAGAGACTGAAAAGAGAGTGCGATTTTGTGTGTTGAGATTTGAGAGAAGAGTAAAAGAAATATTTGTTGGTCGAGAGTTCGACAGTTTTGTAGTTTTGTGAGAAAAGTTGGATTTGTGGTTGAGCAATTGGTCGAGTGACCAAGAGGAGCTCATTTATTTTAATAATTGTTTGGAGAATAAAAGAAAATTGACGAGGAAATCGACCAAATTATTGATTTGACCTGTCGACATCTTTGAATTGATCGATTTGTGACGAGAGCTGTGGGTAAGTGAAAATTTGTTGGTTTCCTGTCGTGTCTCAGAAGGTCTTTTCCCTTTTTTTTGACTGGTCTTGGCGGAATCTCCTTTGAGATTATTTTTGGAGAATGTAATGAGGTTTGTGTATTAAAAATTAATAAAGTTTGATAATTGTGATTGGTTTGTCAATTCCAATAAAGATTGACTGGCGTCTAACTATTCACGTTTGGGTTTCTTTTTATAACAAATAAAAAGGGGAGGTTGATTAATGAACTTTTAATTATTCCAATATTTACGTTATAAAAACTGGCGCCCAACGTGGGGCATTGTCGAGACATTTGAGACACGACAAATTTAATTGTGACTTGTGGTATTTGACTTAATTTGTTCTATAAAATTTTCTTGTAATTTATGATATTATTTATTGTTGACTTGAAAATTTATTTGACATGTTTTGTGCATTTTTTTTTGTGACATGGGCGAGGAGATTTTTGGTGTGTAGAATCAGTGCGCGTTAAAGAAAATTTTTGTGAAAATTATCGCGTCCACGAGGCGACGCCATTTTCATCACGAAAATTTTCAAAGCATAAATTCGCGGAAAATTCCTGACAGATTTTTAAAATTAAAATTTTTTCTGAAATCAGTGAATTTTTTTTTGATTTTTGGATGTAGTTATTTTTATGAAAATTATTATATTTTCACTTTTTGTTCCCCACGTGGCCGGCTTCCGTGGAAAATTCCAAGCCTCACGTGATAGTACGCGCATGCGCTGTTAGAAACCTCGCATGAGTTTAAAATTCGAATCTCGGTGCACAGACACTCGCGGATCGTGAAAATTTTCTAAGAGAACATTGTTATTGCGCATGACACGGGACTTGGAAATTTTGAACAGAAAGAAGTACAGTGAGAGTAGAAAGAGATAGAGTATTGTAACAATTTATCGTAAATTGTCAAGATTTTTTTTTTAAATAATTGTTAAAATTTTGAGAAAATTATGAACAATTTTTCAGGGCCGTATTGACATATTGGGACCCCGTGGAAATTAATTTTGACAATTCGCAAGAAATTTTTACTGTGTTGATAAAATTAAAAAATTTTTTTTGACAAGAAAATTATCTTATTAAATTAAACATTTGGTCAGGACCGTATGACAAGGGTACCGGGCCCAACCAAAAGAAATTTTGATACTTGAGTGGAAATTTTTAAGGGAGAAAAATTTTCCGTTATGACAGTCAACCAAATTGTTACGATTATTGTTGACCAGGGCCGTATCTAGAGGAGACGGGCCCCCAAAAATAAATTGTGCCATTTTGCATAAATAAAGAATTAATTTGTTTAATTTTTGTTTGTTGACTCTCAACCAAAGCAATCAAAATTTAAAGTGACCAGGCCCGTATCACGGAGTTACGGTACCCTAAAAATTTTTTTTTGATAAATTTTCAAAATTTTTCTGGTCGGCGATTAAATAATTTTTTTTTTGCGTTTAGTTTTTGGAATTTTTTTTTGTGATTCGCAATGGAACTCTCACTAGTTGAAATAAATGACTACGTAGAGAAAATGCACAACTTGATGTTGTTGGAACAACCGAGAATTACATGGGGTACAATTCTAAGCATGCCAATAGGGCAAGTTGTGACAACATTATTACAACATCAGTGTTGCATTAGTGGGAGTGCACAGGTACTCAGAGAGAGGTTATTCAGAATTAGTCTGAGAATTGATTTTGCCAATCAATTTGAAGTCCCCTTTTCTGAACTATTTGACCTGGGACAATCTCAAGAGATATTCAGGGTAGAAGCGTTTACTTTCCCAACAGACGAGGAAAGACAAAATATCAACTTAAACAGAGGAGGGGGGCAAAATTTTGACAGTGAGGAGGAGGCGGGACGTGGTTCACCTCGTGACTTGGGAATTTTGGGAATGGACAGGAGTAGGGGAAATAGCGCGTCACACAGCAGACACAGTCCGACCAATGACAACCTACCACCCCCAATAACACCCCCACCCCCACCACCGGTCATGACGTCGGCATGTATCATGACAAATTCGGTAATCACCACGATGTCCCAATCATTTTCCACAACTACTTGTGCGATAATGACAGCACTTCAAACGATAGTGTCATCCACAATGGCACCAAGTGTCCTCAGTTTAAGGGAATCGGTCGCTCGTTTTAGCCTGAGTCCGGAAATGAGAAAACTTATTTTATTAAACCAACGTTTTGCAGAGTTATCAACGGGATTTGACTTGGGAGGGGTAATTGATTCTGGGGTAACCCACCAAATGCCAATTCAGAGCACACCCCAAAATCAACAGAATGAAGTTTCTCATACACCCCTACAAAGAGAAACTGATGAGAGAAATAATTCACATCACCCCACCCCAAACGTTGGGACTATTGAGAATTTTAAGTGTCCCATTTCAAAACAAGAAAGAATTTCAAGATTAGCGACTGATGGTAGTGAGAAGAGCACTGACGTGGGAGAAGAATCGAGGTTTGACAAGAGATCGGGTGGGAGGGAACAACGTCCATATAGGGACAGTGACAGAGCGCGATCTAGTAGAAATACAAAGAAAACAAATGCTAGGAGAACTCTTTTCGACGAGACATCTAGTGACACGGAATCAGAGAGCAGCGACGCATTACCGACAAGACGTGACTTCCGAGAAGCAGAGAGGCGCTCTAAAGTTACAAAAATCCTCAAAGATTGGGACATTAAATTTTCCGGAACCGAGCGTGAAGACCCGGAAGAATTCCTGGAGCGGATGGAAGATTGTCGATTAGGCGAGTTGTTCAATGACGAAGAACTCCTGCAAGCAATTCCGAGTATTTTTCGAGAAAACGCGAGTCGTTGGTTCCGAACTTTGCGACATGACGTCAGATCATGGAAATCGTTCAAACGGGCGTTCAAACGCGAATATTTGACTACGACCGACGATGACGAGGTGGTTGACGAACTGAGGAGTAGAACTCAAGCTAAGGGGGAGAAGATTTCTGCATATTTGACAAGTTTGAGGTTAATAATGGGACATTTAAAAAGACCATTGTCAACGGAGCAACAAGTTAAAATTGCGTATAAACGTCTGACCCCAACATATCGTCGACAGGTGGATGCGTCGGGAATGGAGTCTCTCTCCAAGTTGGAGAAAAATTTGCGTCAGTATGAGAAGGTGAAGGACCTTGATGACCGGTATCTTCCCCCACCCTCAAAAGAGAAGATGCGTTTCCCCGCTGCAGCGTTCAAAGGGGCAAAGAAAGATTCGACTAAGGGTTCGAAAAATGTGGCCGCGATAGAAAAGGAGGAGGGTACCACTGATCAAGAGAGTATTGCGGAAGTGACCAGCGGGACGAAAAAGGCGGAAAAGAAAACTAAGAAGTCAAAGACGAAAAAGTCCAAGACGAAAAAGAATTCTGAGGAAGTGGAGGTGGAAGCCTTGAAACAAACTACCCCCACCCCTCCCACCGCCCCAGTCCAGGTACCGAACCCGCCGACGTACGCTGCTGTAACGGCGAACAAAGAGAACAAGAGGTTCCAACCTAAACAGGCTGGTACAGGGACAGTACCAGTGGGACAACCAGGGACAGTACCAGTGGGACAACCAGGGACACCTGGGACACCAAAACCATTTGTTGGCATATGCTTCATTTGCCAAATGGTAGGACATCGTTCTACACAATGTCCACAAAAAACGTGTTTTGTGTGTCAGCAACCAGGGCATTTTGCAGCACACTGTCCCACCCGCGCCCAGCAGTTGGAATCTTGTCTGGTATGCAAGACCCCCGGGGTAAATTTTTTGACATGTCCCACATGTATCCACGTGCGTAATGCATTGGGAAACGGCCAGTGGGGGGCACAGAACGCGTCTGTACCCCCCTCCAATCCCCCCAGAAATCAATAGACAAGATTTCTTATGACAGGGTAGAGAGGTCGTTGACAGTTGGGGTAGAGAGGTCAGAAAATTTTAAAGAGAAAAAGAAAGGGTTAAATTCATTCCCAGTCAACCAAGGAGCATCTTGCAGTTGGCAGTGGAGTGGGGATGAAGTTGTTGACCAGAGTAAGAGGGAAGTAAGTAAAGGAGAGGTGAAGAGTAAGGAGTACTTACTCATAAAAGGGAGTATGATTGACGGGACAAAAGGTACTGAAGGTGAGTCAGTACCAATGGTCCAGGGAAGGGGAGAGGCTGTGACGGGCACAGTTGACCCAAACCTTATTATTGACAAGGATGTGGATGGTAGCCGATGCGAAAACAGATACTTTTTCCGTATGCACATTGGTAAGAATTCTTTTGAGGCACTTTTCGACCCTGGAGCAATGGTTTCAGTAATCAGTGACAGAGTGGCAGCGCCTTTCAAAGATCGAATCCAGCCTTGCAATACGTCAATCAGGAGTGCTATTGGAGGTACTACCGAAACAGCAGGAATTTTAAACTTGAACATCACTGTGGATGGTCATTCCCAGAAATTCGCTGTTAAAGTTCTTAGCTCAGTGATTCAGGACATCATTTTAGGCGTTGACTTTTGCAAGGCTTGGAAGATGGATGTCCAATTGGGACCTGGGTTGTGGAGAGTCTTCGGTGGTGACTGGCACGTGTTCTGCGTAAAGGACACTATAGAGGGCGAAGAAGAGATATACGCTGAGTGTGCAGGTATCTCTGCGTTGACAGACAAACAAAGAGATATTGTGCAAGAGATGGTTAACCGCCTAGTTCTACCACAGGGTGAGACCTTGGGTATGACAGACTTGACGGAACACCACATCAGGATGACGGATGAGACTCCAGTCCAGCACCGACAACGACGAATGTCCCCAATTATGATCACTTGAGCACAGGGTCATGTTGTCCAACTGTACAGACAAGGGGTAATAGAGCCGTCGGGAAGTAATTGGAGGACAGCTCCGGTTATAACAAATAGAGGCGATAATGATTTTCGACTATGTATGGACTTTAGGGACGTGAATAAAGTCACGGTAAAAGACGCGTATCCACTTCCGACGATAGATTCGATTCTTGACAAGCTTAGAAGAGCCCGTTACCTATCGAAAATTGACTTAAAGTTGGCATACCATCAGATTCCCATGGCCGAAGATAGTAAAAAGTACACAGCATTTGCCATTCCTGGCTCAGGACTTTGGCAATATCGCCGTATGCCTTTCGGTTTGACGAACGCACCAATGACGTTCCAACGACTGATTGACGCCCTTTTTGGACCGGAATGTGAACCATTCGTGTTCGGATATCTTGACGACATCATCGTTGTGACTGATAATTTTGACGAACACCTTAAATGGTTAGAATTAGTGTTGAAGAGGTTGGCTGACGCGGGTTTGGTGGTGAATCCTGACAAGTGTGAATTTGGTTGCTCACAAGTCAGATATCTGGGATATCTTCTGGATAGCGAGGGATTACGACCTGACCCGAAGAAAACGGAACCGGTACAGAATTACCCAGCTCCGACAAACGTCAAACAAGTCCGTAGATTTTTGGGTATGGTAGGTTGGTACTCTAGATTCATCAAAAATGACAGTGACATAAAAGTACCACTCCTCAAATTACTTCAAAAGGGTCGCGAATGGGAATGGGGTGACGAGCAACAGGAAGCTTTTGACGTGTTAAAGAAGAAATTAACATCGGCTCCAGTTCTAGCCCGTCCTGTCTTTAGCAAAACGTTCACCATCCAGTGTGATGCTAGCAACTATGCTATTGGCGCAGTGTTGACTCAGGAGTTTGACGACGGTGAACATCCGATTATCTACATTAGTCGAGTGTTGACTGGGGCGGAGAGAAATTATAGTGTCACGGAGAAGGAGTGCCTGGCACTATTATGGGCAATTAAGAAGTTTCGGCCATACGTTGAGGGATATAAATTCCGAGTGATCACGGATCACAGCGCATTGCGATGGCTAAGGAATTTAAAAGACCCGACCGGACGACTTGCGAGATGGGCACTAGAAATGCAGTGTTGGAACTTTGAAATTGTTCACCGGAAGGGTGCACTGAACAATGTTCCTGACGCATTGTCTAGGATGACTGAGGATGACGAGACGGGAATTGACGCGTTCGAGACTATTGAAGACCAATGGTACCTAAACAGGATGGAAATGGTCCAGAAGTTTCCAACACGATTCCCGGGCTGGATGATTGATAACGAACTCTTATATCATTATCGAAACGATCCTTTGCTTCTTCCAATTGATGGTAACGAGGATGGCTGGAAGTTGGTCGTACCAGAGGAATATAGAGACAGAGTTCTACATGACGGTCATGCAGTCGCATCAGCGGGTCATCTAGGAGTGGAGAAGACTTATAACCGAGTGGCTAGGGAGTACTACTGGCCAGGAATCTCGAACGATATCCATCAGTACGTTACTCGTTGTCCTCAATGCCAACTCCATAAGGTCTCTCAGGCTGGTCCCTTAGGATTGATGGGGCAGAGAATTGTGGAACGACCTTGGTCAGTCGTGGCGGCTGACACGATGGAATTCCCCCCCAGTAAGAGTAGATGTAGATACTTGGTGGTTTTTCAGGATTTGTTCTCGAGATGGGTCGAGTTAAAACCCTTAAGATCAGCTGACGGGAAGTCGGTGACTAGAGCATTCGAGGAGTTGATACTTTTCCGATGGGAGACACCCAACTTTTTGTTAACTGACAATGGGAAGGAGTTCGACAACCGGTATCTCAAGGACGCACTTCAGGAATATGGAGTGAAGCATATTACTACACCTCCATATCACCCTCAAGCCAATCCGGTAGAAAGGAGTAATCGGACATTAAAAACCATGATTTCGGCATTTATTGGGAGTGACCATCGTGAATGGGACCTCCATGTTCACGAATTTCGACATGCGATGAACACGGCGACCCAAGCAACAACCAAATCTTCCCCCGCATACTTGAATTATGGTAGGAATCCTCGATTAATTAAAAGTTTGCGACGAGAGGTTGAGGCCAAAGACAAGGTAGTTCTGATAAAACCAGAAGAGTGGGTTGACAGAGTGAAACGTTTAGACGCGTTGCGGGACTTGGTGAAGAAGTTCATTGACAGGGAACGTGACAGACAATCTGGGTACTATAATCGAAAACGCAAGGACGTGCCCTTTAAAGTAGGAGATTTGGTACTACGCAAAACCCATAAGTTATCTAGCGGAAACCGAAATTTTGCGACAAAACTTGCACCAAAATACGAGGGACCTTTTGAAATTTTCGAACAATTGTCCCCAACGGTATTCGTACTACTCGCTAGTGATAGTCGCAGAATCCCCAAAGTCCATGTCACCGACCTTAAGAAATATCTACCCCCTCGAAATTGCCTTATTCCGTACTAATAAATTTTAAAATTTCAGATATCGGAGAGAGTAATTTTGACAAGGGAAAGAGGAGTTGGAAACGAGAAAGGACGTTTGACTCGAGTGACAGAGGCGAGAGGAGTCGTGACAAGGCAAAGCGAAGGCGGAGAGAGAACTATCGTTCAGTACCGCAATTACCAAAGTACGACATGCCACGCAGAGGATTGACCAGGGGAAGATCAGCATCGCGGCACAGAGCGACCGAAGAATTCCAGCCACCATCCCATGTGACAGCAGCGCCTCCACTATTAGACTTTCCCGTACTGGAACCCGAACGGGATAGGTCCTCGGGAGCTATTCCTCGTCGACCTAAATCTGACGTGGGGAAAGTGAAGGAAGATTGTAGTACATGGGAAGTACTAGAACCGAGACGTTTCCCACGAGCCGAACATGAGGACCCAGACCTACGTCGTAGACAGGAGGAGAGTTGGGAAGAATTTGGGAGCAGAATTGCAGTCGAGGAGCTTGAACGGTTCGTCCAATTCCAAGAACCGAAGACTTCCGTTTCCTTGGAACAACTCAAGGAAAAACAACGGGCGGAGATTAAGGCTAGGAAGCCCGTACTCCGGAAGGAAGATTTGGTCTACCCCGATGACGAGGAGTTGGTAGAGGAGGTACGACCCATTACCCCACCAGGCCCCCGACTAGACGAAATAATACGACCCCCAAACTGACAAGGGACGAAGTTGTGGCGAATTCTGGCGGAGACAGGCGGGGAGAAGCATTGCTCCGAAAAACGACAGGGGTAATGTTCAACGATATGAGATCAATACCCACTGACCCGACGATTGACCCCCCACCACGGACTTGTCAAAATTGTTGGCGCCGAGGCCACCGCCGCAATGATTGCCCTAAAGAAGTGACGGAGAGTTGTTGCGAAAATTGCGGTAGAAAATACGTAACACTACATAACTGTCCAAGGTGTGAGGAGGGTTATAAGCGTTATTTGTTGCGAGGAAGAGCAACAAATAGAGACGCCTACTTTTTCCTCAATTTTTAAATAACCGAATTTTTAATTAACATAATTTAAAATTACAAAAGTGTTAATAAACCGAATTTAAATATTTCAGAATTTTTAAAAAACCGAATTTTTATAGTTCCAAATTTTCAGTTTACACAATAAAAAAATAATCGAAATACCATTGGTTATAATTTTTATGTTCTCGAATATTAAAATTACAGAAAATGAAAAGAGCAGAAGTTTCACTTGACAGACTTTCTGTTCAACCTAATTGCGATCGGACAAAATTTTAAGAGAACAGAAATATCAGTTAACATAATTTCAATTTTGCAGAATTTTTAGTTAACATAATTTAAAATAAACAGAAATGTCATTTGACATAATTTTTATGTTCTCGAATTTTAACTTTTCCGAAAATAAAAATAACAGAAATTTAACTTGACAGACTTTCTATTCAACCTAATTGCGATTGGACAGAATTTTTAGATAACGGAAATATCAGTTAACATAATTTCAATTTTGCAGAATTTTTAGTTTACATAATTAAAAATAAACATAAATGTCATTTGTCATAATTTTTATGTTCTCGAATCTCAAATTAACCGAAAATAAAAACAGCAGAACTTTCATTTGATAGAATAAATCCATTGTTGATGATTGTTTAAACAATGAATACACAATGGATTTGGTATGTCAAGTGAAACTTCTGCTGTTTTCATTTTCGGTTAATCTGAGATTTGTGACCATAAAAATTCTGACAAATGGTGTTTCGGTTGTTTTTCAATTCTGTAAATTAAAAATTCGGCAAAATTAAAATTATGACAAATGATATTTCTGTTTTCTTAAATTTCTGTCCAATCACAATTCGGTTGAACAGAAAGTCTGTCAAGTTAAATTTCTGTTATTTTTATTTTCGGAAAAGTTAAAATTCGAGAACATAAAAATTATGTCAAATGACATTTCTGTTTATTTTAAATTATGTTAACTAAAAATTCTGCAAAATTGAAATTATGTTAACTGATATTTCTGTTCTCTTAAAATTTTGTCCGATCGCAATTAGGTTGAACAGAAAGTCTGTCAAGTGAAACTTCTGCTCTTTTCATTTTCTGTAATTTTAATATTCGAGAACATAAAAATTATAACCAATGGTATTTCGATTATTTTTTTATTGTGTAAACTGAAAATTTGGAACTATAAAAATTCGGTTTTTTAAAAATTCTGAAATATTTAAATTCGGTTTATTAACACTTTTGTAACTTTAAATTGTGTTAATTAAAAATTCGGTTATTTAAAAATTGAGGAAAAAGTAGGCGTCTCAAAAAATAGTCCAACATTGACTGGGGAGTTGACGGGAGATACTAGGAGAATACCACGACGTGAGGGCAGCGCGCTGTTGCCAGACAAATGGAAGGGAAATGACGAGCTGTGCAAGAAGTTTAATTTGCCAGAGGCCAAACTGACAGAGGTTTTAAAGGAAGCGCCCAAATCAAAGTTGGTACCGGCCAAACCACCAATTGTGGAACTGCTTCCGACGAGAGAAACTCCATTGTTGGTCGACATTCCCCCCCCCCCAGCGTATTATGACGTGACAGCTCCTAAGAAAAAGGAGAAGAACCTGGCGGAAGCCATCCGAGAATTGACAGAGTTGATGGCAGGACTACCGATGGAAACCATCAACTTGGCGATTCGCCAATTGATCGAGGAGCGCAGGAACTCGAGTGGAAAAGAGGAGTGATTGGAGCTGCTCGATAATTATTTTGACATGGGATGGGATGGTATGCTTTTGAGTTTTTCTTTTTCTTTTTTTTTTAGTTTGTTACAGGTTCGGTTGATTTTTCTTTTTGGTTTTGACGTGTTATCTGGAGGTAACACGAACTAGGAGAGGGGCTTTCTGACGAAGTGGTCGTCAAACATCCCCTGTTTAAAATGACGCGCTTGATTGTCGGGCCCAGGAGGTGGCGCCGCCAAACGGAAGAAGGTGTAGCTAGCCGCCGGGACGCCGAAATCAGATGTTCGCGTCGAGAGTATTACGATAGAGACTGAAAAGAGAGTGCGATTTTGTGTGTTGAGATTTGAGAGAAGAGTAAAAGAAATATTTGTTGGTCGAGAGTTCGACAGTTTTGTAGTTTTGTGAGAAAAGTTGGATTTGTGGTTGAGCAATTGGTCGAGTGACCAAGAGGAGCTCATTTATTTTAATAATTGTTTGGAGAATAAAAGAAAATTGACGAGGAAATCGACCAAATTATTGATTTGACCTGTCGACATCTTTGAATTGATCGATTTGTGACGAGAGCTGTGGGTAAGTGAAAATTTGTTGGTTTCCTGTCGTGTCTCAGAAGGTCTTTTCCCTTTTTTTTGACTGGTCTTGGCGGAATCTCCTTTGAGATTATTTTTGGAGAATGTAATGAGGTTTGTGTATTAAAAATTAATAAAGTTTGATAATTGTGATTGGTTTGTCAATTCCAATAAAGATTGACTGGCGTCTAACTATTCACGTTTGGGTTTCTTTTTATAACAAATAAAAAGGGGAGGTTGATTAATGAACTTTTAATTATTCCAATATTTACGTTATAATATATTTATACAAAAATTAAAATCCCAAAAATATAATATATTTGAACAAATTAATCGACGTTTAATTTTAAAGAATAAAATTAATAATAATATAGTTTAAGCCCTTCGCAGTCTAGTGTAAAAATCATCGTTTTTGGACCCAAAACAATAAAAAAAAAAGTTCCCAAAAAAATATTATTTCATTGTATTAAAGGTTTTTGGTGTCGCTGAATCCGAATTTAATGATGGAATTAAATAAATTCAAAATTGTAACCCTTGATGCATCAAACAGGTTTTAAAGAAAGCGCAGTAATTGATATCCCACAGTTACTTCATATCAATAAAAAAAAGTTATCAAAACGTATTTTACATTTAAACAAAAGTAAATTTTCTTTGAACTTACTCAAACTATTCGTGCTTGGTTGATAAATAGCATTATAGGAAAGTGGTGACAAAATAATTCTGTAAGAATACATTAAAATTATATTTGCTTTAAAGTTAAATAATCTAATCTAATTACATGAAATTAATACATAGTAATGACTTACGGTACAGAATCATTGGTGTTTAGTTCACGAAACTCTTTGGCTTCTGTAAAACTTATATATTTATAAAAAGAGATTTGATTTTCGAAATAATCTGGACCTAACGGAATCTGGAGAGGAAATATTAATTAAAATTTTCTTAATTTTTCAAAAAATTTAATTCATTTTAATGTATTTAAGACATTTTTTTCAACTCGAAATCTTATAAATAAATCAATTTAAATCAATCAAATAATTTCAGAAATTTTTTGCTTCACAATGAGGAAGCAAAATGTTCGTTAAATGAACATAAAAGAATAGCATACTGTTTTATTTTTAAATGCTCATAACTTATCAATTGAACTTTTTATAAACTTCATGCAAAAAATTATAAAATTTACTATATTTTTTGTAATTTAAAGGGGTTAAAATCTTGTTTGCTTCCTCGTGGAGGAAGCTTTGTAGTCCTTTCGTTTACCTATAAATTAAAATTATTTTTACCCAATAAACGAAAAAAAAAGAATTACAAAAAATATAGTAAATTTTAATTTTATAATTTTTTGATGAAAAAAATTAGTGTTTAATTATATTAGCATACCTCATCTTTTATATTTTTATCACTTGAATTAAATTTCGAAAAATACGATTCTGAATAACCAATTACAAACTTCATTGCCTTAAGTTTTTCCTTAACCAGGTTCTTTGTTTCATTATTTAACCAATTGGAGTTCGACATTTCTACTTCAATTTCATGTTGGATTTCTTTAGCTATGGTTGTCCCCTATTCCAATCAGAAATTAATATATTTCATTACTTGTGACACTGTTGTCAATGTAAATTATTTGAATTATATATTATTGTATTATTTTAATCATAACTTACGGATACTTTTGTCGTGTTAGGAAATAGACGTTTTATGAATTCAAAAGACGTTCCGTAATTGAATGGCAAACTATTGAAACAATATTCCCACCTAACAATTTGAAAATTTCAATTTGATGATTCCTACATCAGCAGTTTTCTTCATGTCAACAATGAATTGTACTATTTCTTTATCTAAAAATGAAATGGTCTCCAGTATAAAGATCCAATGAATGAAATTGACTGAAAAAGATTTATATATTTTAATTAAAATTTTACATTATTTAATTTAAGAGGAGGCTCCTCTTATCGGATTCTCGTACATTTTCCCGAATACAATTTCCTAAATACTTTTTTGCCGAATGCATTATTACGGAATCAATTTTATCAAATGTAATTATTATTTTTAAATAATAAAGTTTGTTATCATAGCAATCGTGAATAATAAACTTGTCGAAGTTTATAAAGTATACATCCTAAAGAATAGGTTATATCTATAAAATAGTCAAAAAGTTAAAAAATGACAAAATGGCGTACACTTTTTTAAAAAAGTGCGATTTTTTCACTATTTATACAAAAAACAAAAAAAAATGATCAGATCTGATTAATTCTTAGCCCTTCTTAATTAGTTAATTTAATATACACACACACACATACACACACACACACACACATATATATATAATTAATTAAAATATTTTATTTTTATTGTACCAATTGTTCTTTAAGGTGTTTTTTCTAGTAGTTGACTTAATTTATAAAAGTAAGGTTTGTCATATACAATTATTTCTTCTGATTCATTAATAACAACATCAGTATTATTGTAAAGGGCTTTAATCATTTCGAGCCAATTAATCTAAAAACAATAAATATAAACTAAAGTTATTAACAACAAAAATAATAATCATACACTGAAAAAAAGGGTTTGCTATTGACAACCAAACGTTTGGTTAGTATTTAAGCAACCAAAATTTTTTTATTGAATCAACAAAATTTTGGTTGTCCCAATCAAACTTTATTTAGGACAACAAAAATCCTTTTTTTATAATTTTGGTTGTGTCAAACAAATTTTGATTGAGACAATTCAAGTTTTGTTGATTCAACAAAAAAAATTTTGGTTGCTTAAATACCATCCAAACGTTTGGTTGTCAATACCAAACCCTTTTTTCAGTGTAGTAGGATGATACCAATATTAATATAAATTGAAGAGTTAAATAAATTTTCGTTTGAGCTAAATATCCGTAATAACAAGAAATAACATTTTTTTACCTTTGATATCGTGCTTTCATTAGTATTGTTATGGTTATAAAAATTCTGAAAATAGCTAATTCGCACTATTTCATATCCAGATTCTCTTGTTTCCTTTAGAGTTAATTTAATCTAATAAGAATAAATTGATTAATAATACACTTTTCATTTCTTCAAATATAATTTGAAATTAATGCAATTATTACCTTCTTCAAGGATTTAATAAACTCAAACAAATTCCTACTGTCAATTTCGATTTCTTTTTCGTCCCTCATTCCTTCGGATTCTGAATATTTAGAAATTGCTTTGTTTAGAAAATTTTGAAATTTTGTTATATTATCATTAATATCGTTTTTTCCATGTCTGTATGAACTATATTGATTATAATAATGACTACTTTCCATATCATTCAAAAAACTGATGTCAGGCAGAAACATATTTTCTTGACTAATCTGCAATATTATAAAATTTGTAATGTACATTTTATTATCGTAAAATTGGCATTTTGCTGTTTCATACTCTCTAAAACTGAATTAGTGAAAATTTCACTGATTTTAATTAAGTGATTTACTTTTCATGATTTCAGTCAGTGACTTTTACTAAATTTGACCAATTCAGCTCAATATATAGATATTTATTATTGTAAAAGATTAATTGCTTCTTACCGCAATCATTTTAAGTGTGGAATTTTTTGGATTATGTACAGTACGTATAGTAAACAAACCATATCCTCCTACAATATCGACATAATAATAAACAACATCTTGCCAAGTGATTTCTTTTTTTTCCCATTCAGTTGTATTCATAACCATTGGCCAACCACCAATCTTGTCTATAATTTTCTTTAACGGTTCCAATCCTTTTTTCTCAATTCTGTCTAAAATTATTCATAATATATTTTTTAATTTCAAGTTTTCATTAAATATTATTGTTATTTCATTGAAACTAAAAATAATTTGATTTAACAACAATCGGCTATATTTATTATCAAAGCAGATATTTTCTGTAATAAATAATTATTACCGTTTTGAAGGTGTCTGAGTTAAATAATAAGTATTTGATTGAAATACAAAAAAAATTATTGATTAAAATGAATTTTATTTGTTGTAATTAAAAATTACTTTCTTCCAATTAAATGGTGTTTAGAAAAAAAAATGTTCTCGGAATTACATAACGAATCAGATATAAACTTATTTAAATTAAATAAATTTTGTTTTCAGTGTACGAAAAAAAATATTTGGTATTGACAGCAAAACAATTTTGATGCATTAATTTGAGAAACAAAAATTTTGTTCAGTCATCTTAAAATCTTTTGGTTTTATGAACAAAATGTTTTGTTGTCAAAGAAGAATATTCTTATCAGTGTAAATTGTTAAACATGAATTAGACTCATAAAAAAATTAGATAATTTTATAAATGATAAGAACGAAAAAATAAATTAATATTGGAACAACTAAAGTTTTTCATCATTAGGTATAGAAATTGAAATTAAAATTTCATAAAATAATTACCTTCATCCATACAAGATTTGTACAATTTTTTCTCGTTAACTAATGGTTCAATATCCTCAGGACTTAGTTGCTTTTCTATAATTTCTGAAAAAATACCATAATGAAGAGTAAAAAAATATAAATTTCCTTATACAGAAAAAACATAATTTCAAATTGAGTACAAAATTTACACTCAATTTGATTTTGATAATCGAGAATTTTTATTTTTAAAACTGACTGTATGAAACTTAAATAATTTTCTCCTTTTCCCTAAATTGAAACGGGTACTAGATTAAATTTTTAAATAAAAAACTCTGTATATAGCGCCATTGCCCCTCTCTATCCTACCTTTTATAATAAATTTTCTTTCTTCTTCATTTATTCTAATTAAATTCCAGAATTCTTCGCCTTTAGGAACCGGATAATTAGATTGCCATGAACCACATACGTAGGAATAAAAGTCATCGCAAGGATTTACGCTATCATTCATTCCCTTTTTAATTGATTCCGCTGTAAAACACAATATTATTGTTAAACACATTTTCAATAATTATTGTGTGCGTAGTTTAAAAATTAAAGGAAAATTTATGTTTTTGAAACGTTATCAAAAATAATGTTCAATTAGGTATGTATGTATTAAAAAAGTCTCTTGCTAAAACAGTGTTTTTAATATCATTTCTACACTGTTAAAAATATTCGTAGTTTTAATATACATAAAGTACTTAAATTTAAGAAACTGCGTATATTAAAGCGAATTTGTATATAAAGTATATTAAATTTCATTACCTATAGGAATCAGAATTAAAAAATTGCATTTTACTCAATTTATACATTTTCTTGTGTACAAAATAAGTTTTTATTAATAAAGCAAAATAATTTCTTTCATATAAATTCAAGTTTAAATCAATTTACATGGTCAAAATGCATATAATTCGACATTTAGGTAGTATTACACTTTTCAAGCAGTAAGAAACGGGTTTAGAAAAAAAATTTTTTCTCGCTTCTTAATTTATTTAAAGGAACAAATTTTTTTTATAACATTATATGGCATTAAAACTTTTATAATAAATAAAATAAAATTTTTTTATTATCTCTCTTTGGCCACTAGAGGGCCTTAATCGAGTTTTTCTCGAAACGTTGTTTTTGAAACTGGCGGACAGCATAACTCGAGTTCTAATGAACCAATTTTTTTGAAAAAATATCATTTTTTTCGTAATTAAATTCTTTAAGCATCCCCCCTAAATCCAATTATCTATTTCTTTTTGGATTTTAGCTACAATCCAAAAACTAACGAAAAAAGACCTAATTTTTGACATTTTTTTTTAAATCGCTGCCATTTCGTTAATTTTCAATATTTTTTATCGGGGTTAGGGGGGATGCTTAATGACATGTCTCTGCTTCAAAACGGTTTTTTGTTTTTTCAGATCCGATGTCCCTGAGAGGCTGTAGCCTGTCCGCCGATTGCCCAAATTTTTTTTTTTTGCCTTGACTTTAAGGCCCTCTAGTGACCAAAGAGAGATAATAAAAAAATTTTATTTTATTTATTATAAAAGTTTTAAGGCCATATAATGTTATAAAAAAAAATTTGTTCCTTTAAATAAATTAAGAAGCGAGAAAAAAATTTTTTTCTAAACCCGTTTTTTACTGCTTGAAAAGTGTAATACTACCTTTAGAGTTCTTAACCTAAATGTCACATATGAGCATTAAAATTCTGGTATTTAGAATGATTTTTTGAAAAAATTTTTCCTTATGAAACATTATTTGTTTGACACGAACAACATATTAATCAAAGAATTAAGCACTGTTATTTCAATTTGAAATAAATTTTCAATATCAAGGAAATAATGACCGTTTGGTGAAATAGGTATCTACAGCCGCCATGTTGGCACATTAAATTTAATATACATGTATCTTAGATTTCAATACCTGTAGTGCATATTCGCTTCATACGCATGTCTATTAAATCTAATACAGATTTTTTTAACAGTGTATATTAAAATAAGGTAAAACTACCAATTATTATGATTCAGAAATAAAATCATTATTTATTTATTTTAATTATACAGTACATAAATAGACAATTGTAAAGATTGTTTGAAAATTCGCGGGTAAATATTTGTAATAAATATTTTTCCCACGTCGATAAAAATATATACTCCATGTCGATAAAATGTTACCGACTGTGAAGTATATCGTAGTACCCGATCACGCCGCGAGAGCTATACCGCCGAGCTCTCTCGCAAATGTCCCGGCCACCGATCGGCTATATAAGCTGCACTCCCGCAGGAAATCGAGACTATAGTGGTTCACAGAGTCGGTGAGGGCATTTCCCTCACACTGGGGCTTTTCCCTAAGTATTAAGGAGCATTACTCCGAAGTATCGTAAAGAGAGCATTTCTCTCGTCTCCACGAGGTTTTACCTGTTGGAGACATCGAAGCGGTTTTACCGCGATCTCGCGTTCCCGTTTTGTACATAACCCATGGCGTAGTTGTTCGTCGTCGCTTCCGTTCCTCCGACGTAGGGAACGTAACGTAACGTGGAGTAATGCAATCCGTATTTTGACCATTTCGTATTTAAATTGTAATCGTGTAGTATATTTGTCAAGTATATAATTTTTAAGGTTATGTCATCGTTCTTTTTTGTAAATAAACGTTATTTTTTTGAATTGTGTCTGTAATTTTAATGTAATATTGTTGCTTAAAAACGAACCCTGATCCGGCGAGCTAATCCAACAGTTTATTTTATCATTACATTCGTTACACAATGACAAATAATTAAAAGTTGAAAATATTCAATTGAATCTAACATACCCTTCAAATTTTGATTGGACACAAATATAAGCTTTCTATGTTTAAGTAGTTCATATACATTCGTACAAAAAATTACTGCATTTATGGGACAAAGGTGCATCATAAAATTCATGTCTCATAATTGGTACAAATTTGTTATTTACAATTTTATCAATAATTTATTATTTTAATATAAAAATGATATTAAAAACACTGCTTTAACAACTAAAGACGTACATCTTTTTAATGCAGCAAAAAATTTCGTATTATTTTCTTAAGTTAATGGTTCAAATACAATAAATCTCAAAACCTATCTGAAAAGTTGTTCCATAATTGGTACTTTTACCGTATATTTGTTTTAATTTTCCAATATGAATAATAATAAACTTACCTAATGAGTGGCATTCCTTAGTTTCACAAACTTCCGAAATATTCCCGCGTGAAAAACGAACTATGGGAAAAAGCTATCAAAAGCTGGCAAAAGATGGGAGAAGATTTTCGCCATTGTTTTTAAGTTTTATCCCATACTTCAAAGAATTGCAAAAAGCTCACAAACCATTGCTTATGAGCCTTTCCCATACTTTTTTTTAATATCATAATTATAACATTGCTAAAATCTTGCCAAAGTATTGCAAAAATATGGGAATAAAATAAAGTCAATTTTTTCTAACTTACTTCTTATTTTTCTCATTTTTTTTCTGAAAATCATTGCAAAACAATCGGAAAAAGATTAAGAAAGAAAAAATTTATTTTTCTCATTTTTTCATCTTTAAAAATTAGATTTTTAAAGTATTGCTAAAACCTGGAAAAAATATACGAACAAAATTAATCAATTTTTCTCGTTATTTTAGCTTTAAAAATCTGATTTTTGAAGTATTGCAAAAATATGGGAATAAGATTTTGAAAGAAAAAATCAATTTTCCTCTATTTTTCAACTTTAAAAATTTAATTTTTAAAGTATTGCAAAAATATGGGAAAAAGATTGGTAGTGAAAAAATCAATTTTCCTTATTTTTAAAAATTTAAAACTTTGTTTTTTAAAGTATTGCGAAATCATTGAAAAAAGGTTGGAAAGAAAAAATCAATCTTTCTCGATTTTTCAGCTTTAAAATTTTGATTTTTAAAGTAGTGCAAAAATATGGGAAAAAGATTGGAAAGAAAAAATTAATTTTCCTCTAATTTACAATTTTAAAAATTTGATTTTTAAAGTATTTTCCTCTATTTTTCAATTGTAAAAATTTAAGTTTTAAAGTATTGCAAAAATATGGGAATTTCTATTTTTCAACTTTAAAAATTGGATTTTTAAAGTATTGCAAAAATATGGGAAAAAGATTTTGAAAGGAAAAATCAATTTTCCTCTATTTTTCAACTTTAAAAATTAAATTTTTAAAGTATTGCAAAAATATGGGAAAAAGATTTTGAAACGAAAAATCAATTTTCCTCTAATTTTCAATTTTAAAAATTTGATTTTTAAAGTATTGCAAAAATATGGGAAAAAGATTTTGAAAGGAAAAATCAATTTTCCTCTAATTTTCAACTTTAAAAATTTGATTTTTAAGGTATTGCAAAAATATGGGAAAAAGATTGGAAAGAAAAAATCAATTTTCCTCTAATTTACAATTTTAAAAATTTGATTTTTAAAGTATTTTCCTCTATTTTTCAATTTTAAAAATTTAAGTTTTAAAGTATTGCAAAAATATGGGAAAAAGATTTTGAAAGAAAAAATCAATTTTCCTCTAATTTTCAATTTTAAAAATTTGATTTTTAAAGTATTGCAAAAATATGGGAAAAAGATTTTGAAAGGAAAAATCAATTTTCCTCTAATTTTCAATTTTAAAAATTTGATTTTTAAAGTATTGCAAAAATATGGGAAAAAGATTTTGAAAGGAAAAATCCATTTTCCTCTATTTTTCAACTTTAAATTGATTTTTCCTTTCAAAATCTTTTTCCCATATTTTTGCAATACTTTAAAAATCAAATTTTTAAAATTGAAAATTAGAGGAAAATTGATTTTTCGTTTCAAAATCTTTTTCCCATATTTTTGCAATACTTTAAAAATTTAATTTTTAAAGTTGAAAAATAGAGGAAAATTGATTTTTCCTTTCAAAATCTTTTTCCCATATTTTTGCAATACTTTAAAAATCCAATTTTTAAAGTTGAAAAATAGAAATTCCCATATTTTTGCAATACTTTAAAACTTAAATTTTTACAATTGAAAAATAGAGGAAAATACTTTAAAAATCAAATTTTTAAAATTGTAAATTAGAGGAAAATTGATTTTTTCTTTCCAATCTTTTTCCCATATTTTTGCACTACTTTAAAAATCAAATTTTTAAAGTTGAAAATTATTGGAAATTTATTTTTTCTTTCAAAATCTTTTTCCCATATTTTTGCAATACTTTAAAAATCAAAATTTTAAAGCTGAAAAATCGAGAAAGATTGATTTTTTCTTTCCAACCTTTTTTCAATGATTTCGCAATACTTTAAAAAACAAAGTTTTAAATTTTAAAAAATAAGGAAAATTGATTTTTTCACTACCAATCTTTTTCCCATATTTTTGCAATACTTTAAAAATTAAATTTTTAAAGTTGAAAAATAGAGGAAAATTGATTTTTCCTTTCAAAATCTTTTTCCCATATTTTTGCAATACTTCAAAAATCAGATTTTTGAAGCTAAAATAACGAGAAAAATTGATTAATTTTGTTCGTATATTTTTGCCAGGTTTTAGCAATACTTTAAAAATCTGATTTTTAAAGATGAAAAAATGAGAAAAATAAATTTTTTCTTTCTTAATCTTTTTCCCATTGTTTTGCAATGATTTTCAGAAAAAAATGAGAAAAATAAGAAGTAAGTTAGAAAAAATTGACTTTATTTTATCCCCATATTTTTGCAATACTTTGGCAAGATTTTAGCAATATTATATGATATTAAAAAAAAGTATGGGAAAGGCTCATAAGCAATGGTTTGTGAGCTTTTTGCAATTCTTTAAAGTATGGGATAAAACTTAAAAACAATGGCGAAAATCTTCTCCCATCTTTTGCCAGCTTTTGATAGCTTTTTCCCATAGTTCGTTTTTCACGCGGGTTATTTTCAACATCACTTCCGAAAACAAGTGTTTTGTCTTCATTTATTATTAATAAAATTATTAAGTGAACGGCAAAAATTCTAGAACAATAAAATTTAATTTGACAATTAAATTTTAATTATTTTCATATTTTAAAAATATAGAAAATGTTAAAATATAAATAATTATAAATAATGAATTTAAGCGGGGAAATTAATGTTGTTAAGAGGTGACAATTTTTATGTGGCATTATTTGAGATCTAAAATTATTGTGAATTATTAAAATTTTTAATAAATTTTTTTTTTGATATTTTAGAAATTTTATTTTTTGAAAATATTAAAATTTTTAAAAATCCATACGATTGATTGTTCAAAAACATAAAAAAAGTATATATAAAAAAAATATATTTACAAAATTCGTCTGGATGATTAATGTATTTTATAATTAATTTATATTATATTATTTTATAATTAGAATGAAATGTTTCATTATACTCACAAGTAATAAATATTGAACATGTTCCATAAATGAATAAAGTATGAGAAAAAATAATTAAAAATTGCCCTAATGTAATCTCATACACGGAAAAAATTTGTCGCTTAGAATTTAAGCGACTAGGTAATCGAGAAGTCTCGGATCTAAATGAATATTTTGCTCAGGTTATAAAAGTTCTATAACTTTGACAGATACTGTAGAAGAAAGTCGAAGACTTTTTAGAAACCTAGGTACTTTTGTAATAGAACTTAAAACTGGGCAATAGATAATGTGAATCACAGATACTTGTCAACGAGTTCGAGTTGCGCAATCGATTCGAAAATCATGGCATATATGCACACTACCATAAGTATAGTTGACGTGAAAGATAAAATTTCTAAGTCATAAAACACAAAAATAAATGCCAAATAGTGATACTATATATATACTATACTACTATACTCTATTGTTTAAAAAATACTTCAAAATTATTTTTAAAAATTTAGCTAATAGAAATAATTTGATTGAAACATTTGGTATTTAAATTAAGTAATGTATTTTTTTACATCTGATAAATAAAATAATAATAATAAAGTCCTAAACATACTAAAATAATTCTTCAATATATAAAAATTATTGAGAAAAAATCTGAACTTTTGACATCACGAAATATCCCCCCTGTTTCTCGCAAGTGGTAAAGAATCACTTCGTTTAATATATACCCAGGTGCGAATTTAGGTCGGCAGCCATAGTTGGTACGTTGGCCCGACTTTGGTTCCTACTTTCACCCAAAGTTGGACCGACTGTAATTGCCAAAGTTCAAAAACCCTAATTCTAAAAGGTCGCGGTCGGGCCAACTCTGGCCAAAGTCGGGCCGATGGTTGTCGGCAGTCGGTATATATCAAGATTATTGTGGATGGACTTTTCAATGAACACCGTTTGACTGGTATTTTAATTACAATAATAAAAAACGAATGTAATTTTTAATCTGAGATAATTTGTTTTATTTGACTTATAAAATGAGTAAACCTCAATCCTCCTATGAGAGAATAAAAAAACACAGATTAATTAATTAATTGATAATTAATAATAATAATATTTAAATTTTCTGAGGGGAAAGTCGGCCAATTAATGGCCCACAGTTGCGCCGACCATTATCGATTTAGCTGTAATTGATTGACTGAAAAGTTACAAAGGTTATCTCATTCATTTATCGTTAAAATTACAAATTTAATTTTTTTTAATTGCACCTTATAAAATCATTTTTGTTTTTAAGTTCCCATGCGAGCATAGCTCGACATATAAGATATGTGGATGACCAAAATAATTTATTTATATATATATATATATATATATATATGTATATATAAGGTGAGCAAAATGTACCGGAATTAATTGAACTAAATAATAAAACAATATAATAATAAATTTTTTTTCCTGTAGAAAATTTCAGTAAAATTGTACGAAAAATTTATTCTTTCCCTCTTTTTTCTTAAAAAAATCTGTAGGTATATACAGAGGTATAGATAAGAAATTGATTAAATTTCTAAAAATAATAATTTAAAATCTTATTTGTTTTATATGAATCATTCTACGCCCTACTGAAAATTATCATATAGGATCTTATATAGGATCTCACATAAATTCATATATTAAAATCCACATAAAATCCTATGTGTCATGTAAGAAACTATATAGGATCCTATGAAAAATCATATAGGAAATTGAGACATGATTTGAAGTAGGATTCGATGTAAATTCTTACAAACGTATTCTTAGGTAATAAGTTATGTAAATTCCTATGTGAAATCCTACAATTTTTTCTGGTCACATTTTTTCTTTCAATTTCTTATGTCAATTTCCTTCGTGTTTTCTCACTAAAAAACATACCAAAATTCATTGCTCAATCCTTAACCAGAAATTTTCCTATATCAAATCATACATCAAATCTTTTTTCGATTCTTGAATAAAAAATTATTACAA